TCCTTCCTTTCCTTTCTTTCTCTTTTTCCTTCTTCCCTCCTTCTTTTTTCTTTTCCTCCTCCTTTCTTTGATTTTTTTTTACCTTTCCTTTAGATAGCATAGCACTAGATAATATATAATTGTGTATAGTTTTCTGCAGGTCTGTCAGTGCTCTTTACTACTTAACATAGCACTGGTTAATTATACTGAGTCCAATGTACTTCTGTGATTAACCTCCATTTATTTAGAAATTTGTATATTATTATTGCAGGTCTATCAATACTCTTTAATCCTTAACACAGCACTGGAAAATTATACTGAGTCCAGTGTTTTTATGTGGTTAGCCTGTGCTTGTTAATAGATTGTATATAGTTTCTGCAGGACTGTTAATGCTCCTTAATCCTTAACATAACATTGAATAATTATACTAGTCCAGTATTCTTATGAAGTTAGCCTACTTTTATTAATGGTTTGCATATAATTTTTACAGATCTACCAATGCTCCTTAATTCACTTTTTGAACTCTTCACTGTTTCAAATCCAGTACAGAGGTTCAAATACAGGGATTGTGCATATATTACAGAGATAGATTTACTTATCTTTTCCGGTTATTTGCCAGGCGTTCTTCCCTTCCAATCTTGTTCCTTCCCTTAGCTTAACTCCTCCACATATCCCCCTCTCATTCTTCATAGAAAATAACGCACTCACAATAAGTGCCCTCAGAAATGAGCTTCAGCTTCATCTCAAAGGACCGCTAGCCTTTTCTTCGCTGAGGGTTCTTTCAGTGCCTGAGCTGACAGCGTTCTTCGCTGAGGGTTCTTTCATTGCCTGAGCTGATGGCGGTCCACGTGTGCCGCAATGATCGTAGGCCTCGCCACCTCATAGCCCCGTCTCTGACGTCAACGTGACTACGTCATATGTCCACACCACACAGACACATTATCGGATGTTTTATATATATATTAGATGGTATATATTAGAAATTGTGGAATTTTGGCATTGATTTTGAAAATATGACTGATCACGCAAAAGCATTTCTTTTATTAAAGGATAATGACCATATTGTCATTTATTATCACATAGATATCACCCAAATGGCCCTAATTACATACCTTTACATAGTTTATAAAGTTTACATACATTACCTTTGAATGCTTGTCCTTGTTACAGACACACAAGGTGACACACACAGGTTACAATGGCAATTAAAGGTTAAATTACCACACCTGTGGCTTTTAAATTGCAATTAGTGTCTGTGTATAAATAGTTAATGAGTTTGTTAGCTCTTATGTGGATGCACTGAGCAGGCTAAATACTGAGCCGTGGGGAGCAGAAAATAACTGTCAAAAGACGCGCTATGTTTGGAAAGGGTCAACAAGGCCTATAGTGAAAAAAATACCATCCCCACTGTGAAGCATGGTGGTGCTCACTGATGTTTGGAATGGGAATCTTGTTAAAATTGATGGCAAGATGAATGCAGCACATTAACAGAAAATATTGGCAGACATAGACTGTTCATGACCTGGAGGCATTTTGCCAAGACGAATGGGCAGCTAAACTACCTGCACGAATTAGAGGCCTTATAGACAAATATTACAAAAGACTGAATGCTGTAATTGATGCTAAAGGGGGCAATACACAGTGTTAAGAACTAAGGGTATGCGGACTTTTGAACAGGGGTCATTTCATTTTTTTCTTTGTTGCTATGTTTTGTTTTAGGATTGTGCCATTCTGTTATAACCTACAGTTGAATATGAATTCCATAAGAAATAAAAAAAAAATGTGTTTTGCCTGCTCACTCATGTTTTCTTTAAAATTGGTAATATATGTGTGATGACAATTCAAATTGGACGTCAAAGGCGCAGTAAAGAGCTGTTAGCCTGTGTAGCTCAATGCCCACACATAATTAAAAGAGAGGATTTAATAAACATCTTGTGTGGAAATGTACCACCCCTCATGTGTTCCTCCACAAATGTCTGAAGTGGTTCCTGACGTGGACGAAAGTAAGACTCAAAAGCGCACCATGGCCCAGTGCATTGATTTATTTACAGTCACCACCCTGCAAACGGAAAAACATCTAACCTCCAAAATAAATTGAAACTCTAACATGCTGATTGGACTCACATACTCCTAAACACTCTGATAAAACCCTTCTTAGCCTTGAATTGTTTAGAGAACAGTGATTGAAAAATAAAAATAGAAGAATTAAAATATAAACAAATTACTTATTATTATACATTTTATTTTTTCTTGTGTACTTTGTGAGTAGTTAAATAAGTATTCATTTTATTTTAAACTGATAATTTAATGTTTTATGCTATCAACAAAACAACTTTAACAATCCCTTTAAAGATTTTTAAATAATTAAATTAATAATTAAATGTGCATTACCCATCATGAAGCTGGCAATCTCCAAATGGAGATTCAGGAGTCAAGATCTGATCACACTTTCAGCGAAAGGGAGCGTCAGTGTTTGACATGGGCACAGCAGCAGGGGGAGGAGAAATATCATTGGGAGGCCCGACAGCATCAGGAGAAACTCTGGGCTAACTGCAGAATTTGTGATAATTTAATGTTTTATGGTGATAATTTAATGTTTTATGCTATTTTAACAAGGCCTTTAAAATGAACCTTTAGTCTTATTTTGATCTTTAGCTAGATAAAAATATTTAAATTAATAATAAAATGGGCACATGCATGGAACTCATGTGCATTCCCCATCATCAAGCTGGCCAACTCCACACGGGTAGGCATGCTATACTGCAGATATACATAAGCAATGACTAAATGCCCATAGTCTGTCTGACGAGGAGTCAGGGGGAGGCTATAATATCAACTAAATATTGGAAAATCTATTAATTTGCTAGAGATATCCCTAACACCATGTATAGATGGAATTGCATGGTGAATTGATTTATGCTAAATACATTTTAACGTAGAGGTATTCTTTAAGGATCTAATTCTATACATTGTGTCCAACAGAAGTGAAAACATTTTTGTTATTCTACTCAACTACTGAGGTGACTATCAGTGTTATTTACAAAACTGAGAATTCAAAATGAATTTCAAAATTAAAGGAACACTATAGCATTAGGTATACAAACATGTGTAACAAGGTTAATTTATAAAACTGGCAATTTCTATTGAAATAAATATTTATATAAATATATATAGGGGCAACACAAACAGCTAGGGACCTGTTTGCTCATAATCTGATACTATAGGAAAGTACATTTTACCTGAATCAGGACGAAGAGTTTTTCATATAAATCTCGGATAATCAATTCATCCAGGTGTGGATTAAAAGGCATATGATTCAAACCATCTTTAACAAACGTGTACACAAGTCTAGTAATATCACCAACAACAAAATAAATTTTGGGTAACAGTGAGCAATTGTAAGGAAGGAAGTTATTCATTATTTTTGTCAACATTCTTGTAATTAGTGCATAACTAGTGTACACTTGACTTCTGTCAATGTATGTTAAAGGGTTACTCCAAGGACCTATGACCACTTCAGTGATTTGAAGTAGTCACGGTGCCTGAAGTTTGTATGTGCAGCGCACCACTATGAAACGCTGTACATATTGTGTTTAATCCCTCTGTTGCCGATGGTGTAACTATAATTCTGGGCTGATAAGGTCAAGTTTGTGTAAATTCCATTGCACAGACTGTTAGTCGTTGCCTTACAGTGATCAGCTGGTGCTCTCAGCTTGTAAATGGTGACAGCTGCAGCTTCCAGCTTCTGTAGCTCTGCAGACGCTGAAAGAGCATTACCACATCACCAGGGAGCGTTGCAGCCTGGTGGGTACCTAGGCATCATAACCACTACAGTGGATGCAGTGGTTAGGATGGTGGTTAGTGGTTAGGATGATTGACGTAATACTTTAATGATGTACCGTGGAGCTTGGAATCTTGGACAATATAGGCACCAAAACAGCTTTAGCTTAAAGAAGTGGTTTATGTGTATATATCATGCCACATGCTCAATTCTCTGTCATTTAGAAGTTAAATCACTTTGTTTAAGTAGTAGTAGTCACAACACCCTGCATGTGACTTGCACAGCCTTTCCAAGCACTTCCTGTAAAGTGAGATTTAATGTTTAAACTTCTTTTATTGCACATTCTGTTTAATTTAGAATTTCTTATGTCCTGCTCCATTAGTAGCCTGCATGAACCTCCTGTGTGTCATTAAAGTTCCATTTATAAAGCGGGGGGAAAACTTCTAAAATAATTTACATTGACACTCCAGACCCCTAAAGCACTTTAGCTTGATTTAAAGCGTTACGTGTGAAGACTGTGACCTCTTTTTTTGCATTTTAGAAAAAGTGCAGATATCAATAGAATTTGACAATATCAATAGAATTTGACATTTGTATAAATTAGATTGGTTAAACACCCTTGCCTTTTCAAGCAGACAACTAGTCATATTACAATTAGCTTAGCTGCATTGATCTCAACAGGCAGCAATTTCCCAGAAGACCTGCCTTGCACGTCTCATTGAGCTGTATTGTCAGTTTGTTATTAGACAATCACATAAAGTCTGGGCGAGGTTAGAACAGGAGGGCTTGCAAAGGCAGCAAGCATGAGTAATACAGTTTTTGCAAGTTGTTTTCAGATATACCCCGAATGAAAAAATGCATAATTAAATACATGCAAGTTTTCTTTTGGGGTATACAGGCATACCCCACTTTTAAGTACACAATGGGACCAGAGCATGTATGTAAAACAAAAATGTACTTAAAGTGAAACAATACCTTTTTTCACTTCCCAATGCACGTACTGCATTGCAATAGTAATTTACAGGCATAACTGATACTGCAACTGCAGATTTCCAGTGATTTTATTTCCAGTGATTTATTTATTGATTTCCAGTGGTCTTTTATTCGGTTAAAACAAACAGTAAAAAGAAAAATCTCATTCCAGATTGTACCATTTATTTTTAATGTTTTACTCATCTGACAACCTTAAACTGGGAGGAAAAGTAAAATAAACCTGCCCACTGGGCCATTTTCTGTTAATACAGTGCCAATTTGTATTTGTTAGCAGCTTATTCGCACACTTTGTTTAGAAACACCTCTTCATCACTTTAAGCATTTATGGTTTAACTTTGAATCCTCAGAATTGTGGCTAATGCAGCTAAGCTGCTAAGTCATAGTTATAGAAAATGGCAGGGTAAACCATTTCACTGGATGGCAGCCGACTGCAGAATATGGACAATATAGGGGCAGAAAAAAAAAATATATATATATATGTTCAGCTAGCAGTAGACATTATAAATTTGAGATGATTAACATGTGCGGTGTGAAAAGTTCTTGCCCCAATGACACTGTACTAAGCTGCTCCGGGCGAGAATAGAACCTTCCATTTCACTCGCGGACAGAAGAGGTGCGGGAATGTCTGTACTCGCGAGTGTACTTAAAGTGAGTGTATGTAAAGCGGGGTATGCCTGTATATACTAAACAATGATTTTTATTCATTTCGCATTTTGGCAGTGGAGTGTCTCTTAAAGATCTGATTGAAAAGTAAACCTTTTTTTTTTTCATTCAGGCTGTGTCAGCCAAAGCCAGGGGAGGTATGGCCAGGGCTACATAAACAGAAATATATGTTTATCTCTGGTGATTGAATAGTAATTTTCCAAAAGACTTCAACAGGAAATTAGCTTTTTGCAAAACTAGACTACAGAGCCAGGGGCATAGTGTTGGTATGAAAAATGTGTTATATGAGCCACTGATCTTTATATAACAATAAACATTGGATAGCCATATTGTCATGTCCTAAAAGTGTGGGCTGGCGCTTAATTACTAAATATAATGCTGCAAGTGTCTAAATTGAAATGAGATTAGATCTCCGAGTGTGCCATAATAAGCAGTTTGACCTAATGCAGTGAGGAAAACTGCAACTTGCTTATCTGCAGCAACGCTGTTTACTTCCATGTATCATTATTATTATTATTTTATTATTTATATAGCTCCATCAGACTCCGTAGCGCTGTACAATGGGGTTGCTCCAGCTTCTCTACCCACGAGCTCCATAATTCAGGAGCAGGTTCAAAAGGCCGAACAGAGCCTGTTAATGCTGTGTGTGTTATAATCCTCGTCCCCACTGTTATTTCCCAAAGCCTGTGCTTATAGTGAATGTAATTCCGCCAGTGTCTACTCCATAAATGATAGACACAGGCACGAGGTCTCCAATCCAGAGGCAGTGTATCACTGTGTATAAAGGCTTTCTCACTACATACACCATACAGCTTCCTATCTTATTAGCAGTGTCTCAGTGTCTGCCCAAGTTGGCTGAATTCAGTTAACCAACAAGATGGCTGCTGCTCCCTAATGACCAGTACATCCCCCTTCTCCCAGCATGCACTGCAGCAGGAAAAAAGGGGAGGGGCATAATGCCACCCCCAACCTGGGAGAACTCTGAGACAGAGTTTATTACTGCTACTAATGTCATTATTCTATGAGTTTTATTTTTCTCTACTGTAGATCTTTTTCTGTTTTGGAGACAGACAGTGAGTCTGTCTGAACATCACACAACATCTTCTCAATGTTAGTGCCAGTCAGTGGCAAAATGGTCTCCACGTATAGCACACATGGGTGTTGTAATGGGTGTTGTTATCCAGCAGACTATCTGCTTTTCTTTAATGATTATTGAAAATCAGTTTATAACTTTTATAGTTATGGAACCAAAATCCTGTTTATGATTGCTCTGCGATTACTTTATCTTGTGCAGTGGACACGTGCTGGGTACTTGAATGTATATATAAAAAAATAATTCAAAAGGCCTATTTGTTTGGAAAATATTTTAATCTGAATACATTTCAGAATATTTGTTGACGTGTAGAACAGTGTATGTGCACTATTATATTTAACAGTGAGTGCATAACATGTAACATATATCCTAAATATAAATGAAATAGCAAAAGACGAGCAAATATATTGATAGTGCATGGCAAAGGCTGCACTTAGTACGTTTCTGAAAGTCAATTAAAACCAAATACAGTTATCTTATTTACACAAATACCATTGTATACCGTTTAAAAGCAAATAGTTGCTTGACTAGATTATGTATTAAACGTGTATTCCTGACCCTATATTGTTAAAACAACCATTTAGGTAGCTTGCCCCATAAAAGGTAATAAAACTTGCCTTATTCCCAGCGCCGCGTTGGTTCGCCAGTACTGGCCCCGCCCCCGATCCAACTCCTTGCTGACATCATCAGAATTTATGATTTTTAGCCAATCCAATGCTTTCCCATAGGCAAGGAGGCGGAAGGGGGTGGGGCCAAATGCGTCTCCATGTAGCGTCTCCATGCTGAGCCATCTGAGGAGTGGCTACTGGAGGTGTCCCTAGGTTCAATGTAAACACTGCCTTTTCTCTAAAAAGGCAGTGTTTACATGAAAATGCCTGCAGGGAATGATTATACTCACCAGAACAACTACATTAAGCTTCAGTTGTTCTGGTGACTATATTGTCCGTTTAAAAGAGACTCCTGAAACTTATCCAACTGTACTCTTGAAGAACCAAAATATGTTATAAGTGGCCACCTAATCTGCAAGATGGAAAAACTTGTCATCCATATTTTCTTTTTTTTATGTCGCACCCCTGACCTCCTATGAAATAGTTTTCTTAATGAAAAGAGTAAAATAATTCCCCTTTGCTCTTTTAGCGCTCCACCACTATATAGGTGATTTATTCACTTATCACATATCATATTTCTAACTGTTTTGGGTGAAAGAAGTAAGATTAACCTACCAGGATGTTTTGAGCTGCTAAGTACACAACTACTAATACAATTTTAAATAATTACACACACAATTTTCAAGCTTCTTCAGCAACCCAGCTGTTTTCAAGGGTGGCCCATTTAGTTACATCCAGCAATTAACTTCTGCCTTGTCGATGAACTTGGACAAACACCTTACTGTAGTCTTGAGTATGCCGTATTGCGTACATTATAACCGTGGTGTTCTATGATAGACTCTTATACAACACGTTACTGTGATGGTTTTTTGCTATTGTGGGCTGTGAAACCGTCACATATATATTGTATTTCAATGCTGGTGGTTTTAAAGATAAATTCCTATATTCCTAATAATATCACAATGTGAAAAATAATTATTGGTGAGCGGTTGATACACTTATATTTATTACATAATACTGTGAGTTTTATCGCTGTGAAGGGGCACTCACAGCGATAAAGTCCAACCTTTCCAAACCCCTAGAACAGAGTGAAGCAACTGTGCTAATATTTAAAGGGTGACTGCTAAGTGTATAATTAAATATTGTGGGAGGGTTGAATCTAGGATTGGTTTGTTTCAGATATGTTAGCAGCTTAATAAATATAGCTATGTAGAAATAAATCAAACGTGACTACATTTTAACTCTTTGTTGTCCAAGACTGCTCCATGGTCATATTTATACCTCCAGATCCCTCCCATCCAGAGTTGTCTAGGGCTCCTGTTTAATATTAAAAGACCAAGAATGTTAAAAATCTCATTGTGTATTTTGGATCGTGGTAAATCTCCTTAGATCTATCCTAATCAAAATCCTTAATCAGCAGACTGTCTGAAAGGTTGGATTTATTATTGCTCAAAGTCTTACCAAGCTGGAATGGGAGTTACCACTGCCAAATGGTATGCAGATATTTCTGCATAAATAAAATTCAGCAACAGTTTGCCGTAATAGAGAGATTGAGAACAGTCTCATCCCTTATCCGTTAGAGGATTGGATTAAAATTTTTATCACACAAGAAGGTTTGTTTTAATTTTAAATAACAAACTACTGTTATATATCGTCGAAAACACACACACATAAATATATGTGGATATCATGGAGGAGCCGATGTCCAATCTAATGCTCCTCATTAACCCCTTCAGGACCAGACTGTTTTGGCCATGTTGGACGTTAAGGGCCAGGGCTGTTTTAACACTTTTGTGGTGTTTGTGTTTAGCTGTAATTTTCCTCTCTCTCATTTACTTTTCCCGTACAAGTTATATATTGTTTTTTTCAGGACAAAAAGGGCTTTCTTTACATACCATTATTTGTATCATGTCATATAATTTACTTTAAAAAAAAAATGGTGATTTATTTTTTACCAAAAACGTTTTTTGAATTTTGCTTGAAAAATTTTTTACTTACATACGAAAGCTAATGAAAAAAAACTGCTAAATAGATTCAAAATGTTGTCTTGAGTTTAAAAACACCCAGTGTTTACATGCTTTTTTTTTGCAAGTTATAGGGCTATAAGTACAAGTAGGAAATTGCTGTTTCAAAATATATATTTCTAAAATGTATCAATAGTGACATTGTAACACTGTTATCTGTCATAAATCTCCGAATCACACCTCACATGTACATATTTTTTTTAAAGTAGACAACCCAGGGTATGGGGTATGTCCATTCTTTTTTAGTAGCCACTTAGTCACAAACACTGGCCAAAGTTAGCATTTATATTTGTTTGTGTGTTAAAAATACAAAAAACAATTATGAACGCTAACTTTGGTCAGTCTTTGTGACTAAGTGGCTACTAAAAAAGTCTGAACATACCCGATTTGCAATACCTTGGGTTGTCTTCTTTTGCAAATGGTATACCATCATGGGGGTAATTCTTATTCCTGGGCTACCATACGCTCTCATAGGCAACATAACCAACCTGCAATTTTCAATGAAAAAATATTTCACCCATATATTTGACCCTGAAACTTTCAAAAACACTATAAAACCTGTACATGGGGGGTACTGTTACACGCGGGAGACTTTACTGAACACAAATATTAGTGTTTCAAAACAGTAAAACGTATCACAACAATTATATAATCAGTGACAGTGCCGTTTGTGTGTGAAAAATGCAAAAAAGGTCACTTTCATTGACAATATCATCGCTGTGATATATTTTACTGTTTTGAAACACTAATATTATAATATTTGTGTTCAGCGAAGTCTCCCGAGTAAAATAGTACCCCATGTACAGGTTTTAGGGTGTCATAGAAAGTTACAGGGTTAAATACAGTGCTAGCAAATTAAATTCTCTGGACTTTTGGCCTGGGTTGTCAGGCATGTCCCTCAAATTTCAATCAATAAAATTACTTGATTAGGTAAAAAACATTACATAAATACGCACATAGAATTTAAATATATAGTCATATTTATACATTTGATGTCTACGTGTATATTTCTGAAATTATTTATGTAATTTTGTATATGGATATATATATATTTTTTGTATTATTTTGATTTATTTATATAGATTATATACATCAAAATAATAGATGTATATATAATTTCATTCTAAGTGTATTTTGATATAAATATATTAATATCAAAATACAGTTAGAATAAAATTTCATATACATATATATATATAATTAAAAATATTTATTTTTACGTTTTAATTTATTTTAATTTACTTATTATTTTAATTTACTTATTATTTGTATTTTATAATAATATATATATACACTATATATAGTTACTATATATTATATATATACACGTGTGTAATGTAATTATAAGTGTATTTTTATATGTATATATTAATATAAGAATACACTTAGTATGACATTATTTATATAAGATATATAGACATATATATATGTTTATATATCTTATATATATATATATATATATATACATACACACACACATATATAATTATATTTTTATTAACATTAACATTATTTAATTCGCCACTGGGGACTGCCAGGAGCAACGCCGATCGTCGCTAAGTACATAATACCGTTATGACAGTTCAGGACCGTCACCAGTTCTCAAGGGGATTTTTCGGATGATGGTCCTGAACCATCCACGATCGTGAAGGGGTTAAAGAGCATTGGAAACCTAATGTATATGTGTGCTGAGCACTTCGAGTACATTCAAACTTCCCCATAGGAAAGCAAAGAATAACTTTCTATGGGGGATTCCTCCTCTCATGAGTTTTACACAGTCAGTGCAGTGGAAACGCCTCAAGTGGCTGTCATGCTGACTGCCCCTAGAGGTGGATTTAACCCTGCAATGTAAACGTTACAGTTTCTAAAAAAAAACTGCAGTGTTTTATATTGCAGATTTAAAAGTACAGGTACACTGCACCCAGAACACTTCCTTGAAATGAAGAGGTTTGGGTGACTAAAATGGCCCTTTAATTCAGGGGTGGCCAAAAAGTAGATCCCCAGACGTTGCAGAACTACAACTCCCATGATGCTTTGCATGTATTTAGAAGGACAAAGCATTATGGAAGTTATAAATATATATATATATATAGAGAGAGAGAGAGAGAGAGAGAGAGAGAGAGAGCTCAACTATGTGGGTATTAGTGTGAAATGCATACTGTTAAAAGGGTGCTCAATATGAGAATACTGTTACCACACCATAAAATACCATTTATATAAAATATAACCCATAGCACACTAAATATAAGAAAATTTGATTTTATTGATATGTTTATAAAGTAAACTAGGCAAAGGTAAAATGCATACAAATAAAGACCATGTACCAGTATCTAGTACTAATAAAGTGCATAAAAGTAAACCCACAAGTGTTTTCCAAGGTGTACTGATCAGAGGCTGGAGACCAAATAACCTCTGACGTTTCGGCAAAATGCCTTACTCAAGGGGATCTCAGTATAAACCTATGGTCCCTTGTACTATTGTGTAACCCCAAGTGGGTGTAACCCTTCAATAATGTAATAAAATAAATTCAACTGAGCTGCTATGGATCAGTAATAAGTAAATATTCTAAGTAGATTTAAACCTGTAGTTACTTGCGGACTTCTGCAATCGGCACAGAGTGACTAAAACACAATCTGACAGACATACAGGGACCTGTACACACACTGACACACACACAGGAACCCATACAAACATAATGACACACATACACACAGACACAGAGAGGCACCAAAATCTCACCTGTCACTTAACAACCTGCGCCCCATGGGCCAACACGCCAAAGGCATCTGTCGTGCTTATGGTATCATTGGCCCTTCACAGGCACTCTGATATTCAGGAGCAGGCTTGTAAAATACTATATACAGATGCTTACTCAATTATTATTTTATTGACTGTTTAAAGCCTGTGAAAAAGCTCTATTCCATGTGTTAACACTGAGTTCATTCCTAAATCCTCCCTAGAATTTTGAAATTTCAACTTAAAATATTTTTTGATGATTTGTGTAGTCAAGACCCAATGAAAATAAACATACTTTCTTTAATAATTTCAAATAAACTTTGACAGATACATGAATCATAGAACTGCTCTAGAATTCCACGGGTTATAACAAGTAGGATAATATCAAAATAATACTAGACAATATGGTGTCATGGCATGTTATATAGTGTGTTAACCCAGTATACATAAAAAAAATGTAAATCAATGGATAATTGCACTTCAGCAACCTAAAGTGCTTTTGGTGTTTGGAGTGTCCCTTAAACCTCTGCTCCTGAAGGCCAGCAATTGCATTAGAAAACCTTATAAACCAATATTAATTAAGCCTGATTATCCCATACAGTAAGTAATACCAGATACGTAAATTATGAAATCGAGAGATTAGAACCAATTTTTAGGTTTGCTGCACTTCGTATTCAAGGTAAAATCAACTGGCTTTGTCATGAGGAAGTGTGGATTTTAATGCTGTTTATGTTGCAACTATGTCATTTCACATAATGTATATTATTAGTTATATTGGCTGTACTAATAAAGTGCATAAAAGTAAACCCACAAGTGTATTCCAAGGAATACTGATCTTATTTTGTTTTTAATAGGCTTGTAGAATCTCCCTTAGGGATGTCTCCAGATGTAATAATGTAATTAAACAGATTTGTGAGTCTAAATGCTGATGATGAGTTAAAGAAAGGTTTTCAACTGTGACATACTGTCAAGTAAACCAGTAACTGGACTGGAAGGAGCATGTGTTGTTACAAAATGCCTTTTGTAACTGTTCCTTTAAATGACAAATTGCCCTCCTTCCCTGGATTATGGAGGTGCCTATTTGCCAGCCTCCTCCCCCATGACTATGGACTGGGTGTGTATGGCCCTTTAAGAACAGTTTGTGAGCAAAATGGGACTGGTGCTGGCCCTTTAAGCACATTTTTGGGACATAGAGAAAATTGGGACAATGCCCCTTTAAGACGGTGTCCCCAGACTTGTTGGGGACACTGCCCCTTTAAGCCTGTGTCCCCAGTGTCCCCAGACTTGGTTAAAAGTCCTGGCTATTTCCCACTTGGTTCAGTAAATGGGGCTTACTGAACCAAGTACCACACAGACGGACCACCCAGAAGTGGAAGTGTGCAGGCAATTTACCTCCCAGGCTGGGAGCCTGCTGTAGGTAAATTGCCGAACGCTGGGTGGCCGCTGTTCGCACAAACGAACACGTAGCGGCGCCATCTTTATTCATTCAAATACGGTCAGCTGTGTCTGCAGCCAAATTCATGGAACTAAAGTCGGCTGCACATTTCCGCGAACACCACGGACCTGTACCTTCTTCCATACTGAACTGTCAGCCGCAGAGACTAAGTCCCATTCGGTGATGGGACTTAGTCATTTTTCAGCCTGAAATAGACCGACCGCACAGCCCAAATCTATGGAACTGTTTTGGGCATGAAAATGTGCTTGCAGTCGGTCATAAAGGACTTCCGTCTAACTTTTTATCCACTGGAGGGATTCATATGATTTTTTGTTATGTTCATATTTAAAGTGTGCTGATTCTGAATATGTAGATTTATGAAGATTGGATGTATGGTTTTAAAGTTATAGTACATGTATAAAAACTGTATTTTTCCTGCCTGTGATAATTATGTTAACCATTGTGTACCATAATTATATCACAGGCAGAAGGGAGGATTTTGTGTGTAATTGCTGGGAGTGTTTTCTGTAATGTACGTGTGTTATTGGTTGTTCTGTAAAATCCTGTGGGTGGTCCTATGTAAGGAAAACCTGCATAAAAGAAGGCCCTTTGGGTGCCAATAAACAGAATGACTTGACCCCCTAACTTGCAGCCTCGACTCATGTTTGTAGGGGACAGCTGTAATCACTACAGGGATTGCTATGCTCTTCATACTTCCTTAGCTACTGAGCTCTTGTAAGAGCTCTTGTTCCTGATCCTGCTTTGCTCTACAGAAGGAAGAGGTTCACCTACTGGAACCTGGAGCCTGGTCGTAGGTCCAGGGTGGATAGCAGACAGCGAGATCCTAGCCCAGCAGCAGCGGTTCATGGAGTCTGCAGTGCTTATAGTGTCTATGGTGCTAATGGTCCTTTGGTGAGCACTAGGAGCATCCTTTCTATGGTCCAACTTCCAGCCAGCCTGGAGGCAACCGTAACATGTGTCATCAAATCATAATAAGTTGCAGACAGTATGATTCCTTATTCTGCCTCTTTAACATCAGAATCTAGTGCTGGAATAAAAATGTCTTCAAGTACATTAACATAGGTCTTCCTCCAAATAATTTACTTTCTCACATACAAGAACCGAACATGTAGGTCTATGCAGATGCAAGGATGTAGATTGTAGATCTGATGATACTATGTTCAATTCAAATCAACATTTCAGCAACATTACCTCAACAGAATAAAAGATCTGACCACTGAACTTGGTTGTAGGCTTCTAGAACTGGTGTTATGTGCAGATAGCCACAAATGTCCTGGTAACTGGAACCAGACACTGTGTAATTTCCTTTTATGCATGCTGGGTGTTGCCTGTTGTTGTAACTTTGGTAGAATACTGGTGGTTAGAGCTTTGAAATCCTGATGTAATAACACAGAGTAGAAAAATGGTCAGCAAGACGTGGTTAACACCCAGTGTTAGAGAGAAGGAGGTGTTTTTTGGGTTTTTTGTGGACTTGTGGTGTGGGTTGCTGAAGGCTGTCTGAGATTGGCATAAGGGAAATCAAAAAGGATTTCTCAGCAGTACAGTACAAGCAGATGTACTGCACCAAATTTTCATTTCTTTGCAGTGTCTGTCCATTGGTCTGGTCGTAGAAATAGGATACATGCTGTTTCATCTTCAGCTTCTTGACTGGACCTCTCCAGAAGAAGCAGATAAACATACAAACCCTATCAGATGTGATTTGCTGAGGCAGTAATTGTTCAGACCACTAATGTCTTTTGGGAAGAGGACATTTTTTTTTAAAGCCCAGGGGAAAAGACAAAAAGATAGTGGGGACAGAAAATCTGTATATATCCTTGGGTGGTCCAAGAAAAACTGTCCTGGGGTGCATGTCATTGGGCTATATTGTTTATATTTTTATATCGTACACTTCAATGTGAGTTTCTCTCTCTCTGCTCCCAGCTGGTCTCATGCATTGCACGCTTCTCTCCGCCACACTGCTCCCTTTCTTAGTCTCAAACTTCGCCCTCAGCTTCACTCCAATTTCACACACCGTATATTTCTCAGGTCAAGCTGCTCCCTGCCGTACACATTTGTTTCTCTATGTATTCTGAATCAACAGCTAAGCATGACCTGCATGCATGACCTGCATGCATCGGCACATCATCGCTCCTCCCTCTCAAACAGTTATCTGGGTTTATTTCTAGTTCTCTGAACAAGATGATATATTCAAGGATGGGTTCACAGGTCCTCACAAATTTACAACGTTCTGCCCTCGCTTAAATTGAATTCTATAAAGGATTTCAAATTTGCAGAAATGCAGGATGCACTCTGAAACGTGACACGTTTGTGTCATTTACATGTTGAGGTAGGAATTTTGGGAGGATTGCAGAAGCATGACTTTTCCCAAGGTCTGATTTGAGATATGTAGATGATGCACTCTATATTGTAATCTCACAGGCTGCCTTCCAAACCCCTTGTTTTAGTTGATTCAGGTGTTGAATGAAATCCCACAGAGGTTCTCTACTTCTTTTTTTGTCTCTTGCTATCACCAGTGTTTTAATAAATTATACATAGTTGCCAGGTTGGTATTGTTGCATTACTGCCTTAGAATAGATCATGGTATAAGCCCAGCACCTAATGAAGTGTGAACGGAGCATGTCTATAAATATTACCAAGCCCACAGGGCATGATGAGGTAGACCTAATGCCCATAGCTAAAACTAAGAAATGGAGGAAAGGGGATTCTACAAGGTGGAGACTGTGAGATGGGCTTGTAGTGTATAGACAAGGGATTTCTGCAAGATATTTGAAATTAGATATTTTCTGTTTCTATTTATGTATGTGTTTACATTTGTAGCGGAGCTCCCTGTACCCTGGCTGGGTACCTCCACCAAGGATCATGTCCTAGCTGAAAACTGGGGAAAATCTCAGCACTTCTGCCCCAGTCGCTGTGACTTGACTGAGGTCCTCCTGAAGCCTCTATGTCCTGGATAGGGGACTAGCTCTATTTCCTCCCAGGGACTGAACGACACATAGTTCTGGGAGCTGTAGTGTTTACAAAGACTTTCGCTGCTGAAACCTCCACGAGCTGGAACAAGATGCTGACCAGTGAATAGCCCTTTCCCTAGACGACACTCAGCCTGTTATGCACTGACCCAAGCAGGGTGTCTCAAAAAAATACAATACAAGCCCCTCCCAGAGATCTCTGTGCCTGGGAGATAATTGAGTTAAAGACCGGTAAGCTAATTATCTCCCAGGAACAGAGAGCCAAACACGAAAACATAAAAGTACCCAAAAACATCATCAAAACATATAATAACCCCACATATCATACATTCCCAAACAGCCCTGATCTGAGAGCCCAAGTTGTCCAAATAGCACTCTGATCCATGCAGTCTAGGGTAAAAAGCCACCGTGGAAAAGTTCTGACCGGCCGCAAACATGGCCCTATGCCCAAAATAGTTCCAGAGCAATGTGTGCTTTGGCCGGTCAACTTTTGGAAGCTCCTGCAGCTAAAATACGGGGTGCTCCACCTGGCTCTCTGGGAGCATTTGTTTCTCTTCGTTTCAGGTACCTTTCCTCCAAAAAAGCGCTCTCCTGGCGGGTCGCAAAGTGGTTCAAACCCCAGACCAAGTTGTCTGGGAACTGCAAGGTCACCGAGCCGAAAACAGTTCCTTAACATTCGCGGCTGACTGCCACTGAGGTGACCGGGAACCATGAAGTCCTCATGCCAAAATTAGTTCCATAACGGTCGTGGCTAAGTATCGCTGAGGATCGTTTGTGGGTTTGAGCTAGTGTTCGGTTTACTTCGTGATAAAGGAAAGTGCTGAACCAGGGGCACCGAGGGAAAGCTGCTAAGGGCGGCTGGGCAGGGTAACTCCCCAATGGGGTCTCCGACCTGGACCATAGTTGGTGGGCAGGAAGCCAGCTTCCACACTCCTCCAGGAGTTCGTGGCAAACGTCTGTGGAAAAGAGCGTTTGTCACAATGTTTATATACCGTATGTGTTTATGTGTACATTTTATGAATTCACATTGCACATCTGCAATTTTATAAATATATCACTGAAGTGCTTTGTTTCTGAAAAGAAATCCACTAATGTAGTCCATCACAACTTTGTGTTTTAGGGCTTAAAGGGAGAGAGAGGACAGTCTGGGAGTTATGGACTAAAAGGAGAAAAAGGAACAAGAGTAAGTATGAAGAGTGTTATTTACTGTATATAGTGTGTTAACCACTTAGTACAGGTCTCACATTGTTATAATTGATCATGTTATCACTGACTGTCATTTCTTGTGTTAGCACATACATGCATTGCTCCACTCTTTCATAAAATATTGCTTCAACGGCTACATACATCACAGAAATGACCACACATGTGAGACTCACTGTATATATGCCTCAAACACACACTGCTCCAAGAATTGGTTACTATGCTAATCCACTACATACAGCTGTGCTATAGTGAACAAGAATTGAGGCTATTCAGGTTATAATTACTACGAATTAAACATCTTGTGTGTCAGTGCCATCATTAATTCCATAAGGATACTGACGTTTATTTTATCAAATAGCAGGCGATCTGTCCACCCTCCATTACTTACTTATTTAAAAGTCCTTACCCGATGCCCACTGGTGTTGGCACGAGGGTAATATTGGATAGTTAACCCTGGTTTCTAGAGTGTCCCTTTAAATAATTTAAACCCCTCCTTCTCTTCTCATTCTGATCATTCCTGGACAAGTGAGTAAGTTCCAGCAGCTTCTTTGAAAACATAAACCCTTAATGTGCTTAGTTTCTATAAAGGCCTCCACATTTCTTTTATTAAGACCTCAAAGCCTGTAGCGCTGTTAGAACTAAAAACAAAATTAAAAAAAATGACTCCTCACATATTGTCCAGATGTACATGAAATTACTTTCTCTCTCCATCTGTCATTTTAGGGTTCAGACTGTATTCGAACATCAGCAGAGGGACCCCTACAGGTGAGTGCCCTCTGTTAAATGAAGGATTCTGCATGTCAGATGTTTTATGAATTTGTTATGTAGTAATCCATGCATTGTAAATTCAGAAAGATTTTAGTCACTATGTGTTAGTGCATTGATATCTCCTGCAAACAACTAACCCTATCATCTTTATTTTACAGTGTGCTGAGGGTGTGAAGGGAGAAAAGGGAGACCATGGGCAACAGGTGAATATCAGACCCCTGACCCCTGGCTTTTCTGACAGTGCATGTGAACATTTGGCACAAAATATACAAAGAGCATAAGAATCGCTGGCAGTCTGCCCAGTCCTTATCTGCAGGCTTAGATTTCAGACCTCAAAATATATTAAAGATAGACTTTTATCTATTTTTATTTATCTAGCCTTACTTGTCACTAGGAAAGCAGCTCTGTATGATAATACTACTTTTTTAAATTAAGATGCTAATTTGTTATAAACATTCTGTTCAGTCTATTTACAGATTTCTTGCCTAGTATTTACTTCAATCATTCTGCCACTAGAGGGTGTCAGAGATTTTTACACAAGTCACAGAGCTACATTAGTCCCTCTAGGACAGTTTGAAAACAGTCTATGTAAATACAATGAAAAATATACTTGTGGAAGCATGAGCTATTATAGACTAATGTTCCAAAATTATTCTTTTTTTAAATTTTATTTATTTTTTTAAATTCTTTATTTTGCGCTGCGTAGGCAATCTATTTTTTATATAAGATATATATTTTCATGGCAGCAAGTTTTGAAGAACCGTATATATGGACAAATAGCCCAAATAAAATCAATCAAATTAACAGAAAATGTAATAGAACAATAAAATGTCAACAATAATGTGTCATAGTATTGTGATGGTATAGTGTGTTTCCCCATGGACACTTCCTCAATCCACCATGGATACAAACCAAAAATAGGTTAAACAAACTATATGTTGTGTCTTCTTAGGTAAAGGCGCATAGACTTATAGATGCTTACATGCTTGATGGTTCACACAAATATGCTCCAATGTTTCAAACTGGGAATATTAAATCAATTTCAATCCGCCGTGGTATCAGTTTGAACCACAGAGACAGCAGAACTGACTGAACCCAAAACGATAAAATAATGGTAGGTCAGTGATGACAAAAAGTAAAACTGCACATGTGTATAAACTACAGTTCCCATGATAATGAGACAACATTTATCCAGGCTGAACATTAAGGAAAATATAGATCATGAGCATCTTTAATGTCGAGGTTTGCCTGTCAGTGCAGTAAGAGAATGATAGGGTTTGGGTACTTAGTTTAGGTCATGGACAGCAGAGGTGTAACACTATTTGGTTGTTTAATCATTTGATTTTAAAGTGAGAAACAATCTGCAGAATTTATTGTAGATAGGACAGAGAGCTGAATTCAAAACTGCATCATAAACTCTTCATACTTATGGCGGCCCGCCTAGCACCCCGACTGGGTACCTCCACCAACCACACTTCCTAGTGCTCACCAAGTACCATAAGCACTGCACGGGACACCATAACCACTGTAGACCCCTTAGCGGCTGAGGTCTCGCCGTCCCTTCCCACCCTGGACCAAACACCAGCTCTCAGTGGGAAGACCTCTCCTCCAAGAGAGTATTGCTGTATAGTAATCCAAAGTGCAGTATAGCAATCCCCCCCACACATGAGCCAAGGCATAATGCTGGGAAGTCATCTGTTTATTAGAGGCCACACACGGCCTTTTATGCAAACCCCATGCAAGAGGTTTCCTATACAAAACAGGGTAATCCCTCCATTATGCCTGAGAGATAATTGAGTCAGGAACTGTATAAACTCAATTATCTCCAGGCACAGAAAACACACCTTTTTTTAGACATCCCAAAAGTACCCCCAAAACACATAAAAACCCCACAACCCCACCACATCGCCCAGATCGGTTCAGGGGTTCAAGTTTTTCATGGAAGTCATAATTTGACCGACCGCAAACATGGTCCTATGCCCAAAACAGTTCCAGAAAAAAAGTGGTAGCGGTTGGTGAAAAACGATTCCACTGAACAGTGCCCTTCCAGGTGGTGTAGAAACAAACTCAGACGATGATGGAAGTGCAGTGGTGTTCAGGAGTTGCAGTATCCGATTTCAGTTCCATGAGCTCGACGCCCAAACACCGCTGTCTGCGTTCGCGGGAACAAGAAGGCTGCCTCATTGTGGTCGTTCATACGAACTGTGGCCACCCAGACGAAAAATTAGAACACTGCGGTTAGAATCGTTAAGAGGTGATGATAGGGCTTAACAAGCTCCTGGGTGGTCCATAGTTTGTGCGTCTGTTTGGTTCCCGATAAATGACACGAACACAGTCTTTTATGAGCATTTTCGCATTGGGCCATAGTCTTGAGGCAGGAGGCTGGCAAGCAAGCTCCTCCAGGAGCCCGTGGCGAGGTTACTTTCGCCACAATACTCTTAAACTATCCAAATAACGATGAGCTTTTATTTACTACCAATGGAATATAAAATTATACCAACTCAATATATATATGTACAACTTACTCTCCTACATGATACATTCATATAACATATACTGCAACATGTTTTTACTCTCTGTGACAGACTCTCACAATTCCACAATAATTTCATTATCACCAACAGGGGCCAATAGGATTTGATGGATCGACAGGACCAGAAGGAGAGAAAGTAAGTCCAAGTTTTCAGTAAAAAGTGAGTAGAGCTTCATTATATGTTGTACTGCCTGTCATCATTTTTCTTTTTATTCCCTTTTTTTTCCAGGGACAGAAAGGTGAAAAGGGAGACATTGGATTGAGAGGATTATCTGGTGTGCCAGGAAGAGATGTAAGTGTCAAACAAATGTTTTATTCAAGTTTTACAAAAGTCACTATTACTACTTATTCTGGTAAGGTAAGGTATTTTAGATTGCCTTTGATATCTGTGCATGTAATTTAAAAATAAATGTAATTTGCTTATATGGCCTGTTACTTCATATCAGACTAAAAACAAACATTATTAGTTAAACTTATTTCACATATATTAGTATATGATGTTGAATAATATTGCCATAAATAATAATATTCCTTACAACACAGGGAAGGCCAGGGGAAATCTGCGTGGTGGGACCTAAAGGTATGAAGGTGAGTGGTTGTGGCATCGTATGTATATTCAATTTATTCCCTGTCTGAGCTGTCTGATGTCTTAGCATGTGGACTCAGAACAGGTATAACCATATGGTATCCTTAGATGGCTGCCTAAAGCTCAAAGGCTAGACAGGAGCCTCTAAACAACGAATTTGCTTGTTGCTATTTATCATCTCTGTGTAAAGAATGAAGGGGGTCCCAAACTGGTAAAGATGCCTAGGGATGCCCGGATGGCCTGCTGTACTGGTTACAATGCCTGGAGTGCCATGGTCTGGTGACCTTGACCTCTCTCAACCAATGACTGACATTCTGTACAACAGAGGTTGCACATAACTGGCATTAGCCAGCCCAGAACACTATAACACTGCTGGAGGGGGGAAGTGCTTAATCTCTGTATGTGTAACATTTCAAAGTGAAACGCTGCACATATGGACTCCTGGCACTTCAAATCACTGAAGTTGTCATGCTGCTTGGACTAACCCTTTATTCCTTCTCTGCATGTAGTCATATTGTCAAACTATGTAGAAACACATGTTGATGATTCATTAAGCAATTAATCAGTGTGCCTTCCTATAAATATATTTTTCCCTTTAGATGGAAATAAAGAATAGATTTGAGATTTGTTTTCCTTGTTAATGATCAATGAGCTTTTGTACCTTTTTGACCCTGTTATGCGACTGTATATAAATGGTCACTAATGAGTCCCATTCTCCAATTTCCCTCTCTTTGTTTAGGGAGAAACTGGCATTGTTGGTCCAGAGGGTCTTGCTGGTGAGCCAGGACCTCCAGGAAAGCCAGGTATTCCAGGAGTCGGAACTCCAGGAAGGCCGGTAAGTACTATTGTTTCCCATGTCATCATTTATCTTTGTAATTCTATTGTTGATCCCTAATACGAAATAACCTTTCATCTTACATTAGTAAATATTTATTTAACATCTGCCATCCTTGCTCGGAACTTATGTTATGGATGAACTGTTATTTCCTAATGTTTCCTATTTTAAAATTTAGGGAAACCCTGGTGGTCCACCTGGTCCTCCCGGAGAAAAGGTAACGTCTTCTTTAGTTCTTTTAATAAAATACTTCACCATAATACAAGTTGTTACCTTATAAGGTCTATACATGGCATAACACAAAGTGCTCAATAGTTTAAGACACAAACCTAAACTTATACAAACTCATGGGATAATATATATGCCTAAATTACCGATGTCATGAAGGTAATATATATTTGTACATTGATTGATATAATGTGGATACATTTATGTTATTATGTCCACTGATGTAATGAGGATTACATAAATTCCTATATTAAGTAATGCAGTGAGGATAATATACATGGATACCAGAGAAAAACAATTCGGGATACGGCTGTATAAATCTACAAAAGGACATAAAACACAAAATAGTGTAATACTGTAACAGTATATATTATGCACAGCAATGTATGCACTCACTAGATGTAGACGAATTAAAGCGTTCTTAGGGGGCTTCCCCCGAAATAGTGGGGGTGGGGGGGGCAAAAGATCCATCTTTCCACCTCCAGACAGTAGATCCAAACAGGACTTCCACAGGTGAGGCTAAAAAAACAAATGAATTTATTAAATAAAAATAAATCAGCAGTCACCATTCAGTATAGGATATATACAGTGGCAAAAAAGGTCCTACGCGTTTCGTTCTAGATGAACTTCTTCAGGGACCGCAATATTAAAATGGTTACAATGGTAAGATACATGTAAAAACAAAACATATGTTTTGTTTTTACATGTATCTTACCATTGTAACCATTTACATATGTTTTGTTTTTACATGTATCTTACCATTGTAACCATTTTAATATTGCGGACCCTGAAGAAGTTCATCTAGAACGAAACGCGTAGGACCTTTTCTGCCGCTGTATATATCCTATGCTGAATGGTGACAGCTGATTATTTTTATTTAATAAATTCATTCGTTTTTTTACCCTCACCTGTGGAAGTCCTGTTTGGATCTACTGTCTGGAGGCGGAAAGAGGGATCTTTTGGCCCCCCACTATTTCGGGGGAGGCACCCTAAGAACGCTTTAATTTGTCTACATCTAGTGAGTGCATACATTGCTGCGCATAATTTTATACTGTTACAGTATTACACTATTTTGTGTTTTATGTCCCCTTGTAGATTTATACAGCCGTATGCCGAATCTTTTTTCTCTGGTATGTTTCTATATCTGGCATAGGTCGTTTTTGGGTAACGACCTTAGGAGGCTGTTTTTCTGTTACCCAAAGTTAAGTATTATATATTTCTTGTATTTCATTGTTTTGATTTTTTCAGCTTTGGTGTTATATCTGTTAGGATAATATACATGCCTACATAACTGAGGTAATAGGGATTCTGAGCTATCAAGTAGCCATTGAGTAAATTAGACAGACATGCAGCCCATGCAAGAAGCGGACACTTTCTGTTATCTTAAACAAGATAAATAGGGTCATTTAGAGGTCAGAAAAGCACATTTTAGGTTTTAAATTATTATTGTGTTTCCTGTTTACTCTCTCTAGGGCCTCCCAGGAACTCCAGGAGTGGATGGATCTGTAGGAAAACCGGTTAGTATCTTGTTTGTATGTATTGAGCTTAAGATATAAACTCCTTGTGTGAAGCGCAAACTCTGAATTGTAGGTTGAAATTGAAGGGGAATACTGGAAAAAAAATATTGTAATTCATCCTTTCTTCTCAATTTCTAAATGTCCTATATATCTGCTTTCTACAGGGGAAACCAGGCTTACCGGGATTCAAAGGGAATAAGGTAAACTGAAAACTAAAACTAGATAGTATTTTCACATGCAATGATTTTATGGAAAATAATCTAGCCACTTTGAAAGAAGTTTTATTTTTGATGAAAGGTCTGGATGCTTTACCTGCTTGAGCATGGTACCTTCATAGAATGAAATGTGAGAATGTTTTGACTAAGGACGCTATATTATACATAAATACATAGAAAACTGACAGGTCAATATCACAGGTGTAATTGCTATTTAAATTCTAACTATTTTGAAGTATTGGGGCGGATGTAGTTTAAAATCACCTATTGAATATTATTTTTAGTCCCCCCTCACTTAAAATCTGAAGAAAAAAAGCCATTACACTTACCTGATATTCAGTGCCTGGCAAATCACTCAACACAGTGCTCTCCATGTCTGCATCCGATGTCATACCTGAAATCTGTTGGGACAAGAAAAAACAAGAGCTCCATGGACACTCTTGACGTACCCAGTAATAGAAGGAGGTTTAGGGTTACGTAATATCAGAGAATACTGCCCAGCAGCACATTTATGCAATATTATCACTCCCCACTACAATGTCCCCTAATAACTAGACATTGAAGCATACTGTGCACTATGTCCAAACCTCACTAGTATAATATGGTTGCCTACTATACTCTCCACAATGAACTGTTGTTCACGATCTGGGATTCTAATAGACATAAATTATACGATCATACCCAATAGTCTCTGGCCATGCCATTGCACTTTATTTACATGAAGAACCCAACATTTTATTATAAAACATCGGGTCAACAGGAAATTAAGCACGGATACCAAGTATATACCAGCCATTATCTGTTAGCTTTCCAGAATTGCAAGCAGAATTCCACCTACCTCCAGGCACACTATTTTCATACATTCAAATTAAAAACATGCTAGAAAATACCACATGTACAGCATCGGATCAGAGAGGGAACACTAACACTTTGTTGCACAGCAGTGAACCTAGAAGGGCAGGAAGCAAAATGGAAATCCGTAAAGGACTGGAAAAAAGATGTGGGTAAGGAGATAACTCCTGAGACCTGCAAAAGAGCATTCACATCCCTCATGGGGCTCTCCTCTTGCACATCTCACCTGGAAATCACATTACAATTACTGTACCACTGGTACCTTGTAACTGCCAGACTAGCCCATACATTCCCGAATGTTAGTCATGTGTGTTTGAAATGTGACTCCGAAGTGGGAACAATGCTTCAAGTTAAGTGGACATGCCCTCCAGCGACACAATTTTGGGGCAGAGTGAAAGGCTTGATAGAAGACTTTTCGGGCATACATAGGAAACCCTCTTTAGAAGTATTTTTGCTAAACATGCTACCAGAGGATCTCCCTAAGCCAACCCTTAAACTTTTATATATTATACTCACCTTGGCAGCCTTGTTGCTAGCTAGGAGCTGGAAATGAACATCAGTCCCATCCATTAGGAAAATTATAGCCCAAGTCACGACCAACTTAGATTATGAGCAAATGGCTCTAACGCAACTCCAAGTAGGGAAAGCAACCCACGAGGCAAGGAAAATATGGTTACATGTTCTATTAAAAAAAATCACATCACATAGAAGCCATTGATGCACTGGGGAAGTCAGTAGTATAGCCATTGGAATGTTACTAATTTACTCTATTCCACACGCTGGTCACCCAAGGTCTGGGCTTGCATCTGACAAAGATGGCAAGGGAGCTTTAGTTTGTTCATTGTTAATTTGTTTTTCTTCATTATTTATTTATTCTTTTTATCATTGTTTTCTGCTCCACCCTTATAAAAAGATGTTTGAATGTAAAATGTTTCCATTGCTAGCTGGACTATAACCGCAAAGTTGCTGAACCATGCCTCTGCTTTAACAGTGACTATTTCAACACTGAGAATCAACTTGTAATGTAAATACTGCAATAGTGTTGGTAGGGAGAATGTGTTATATCAAGGCATTGTGTGCAATCTCAGCTATAGTGCTTTATACCTACTAACCGATTTGTAAAAAGAGATGGTATACTATGGTTTCCCGTGGCAAGTAATTTTTAAGGCCAGGCTAGTAGCATAGAATTACACATTTTAAACCCTGATAAGGTAGCGGACTTTTAGAAATCCATGTCAACTTGTCTTGCAAATAACTTGGCTGTAACTTTTGCAGGGGGATCCATGTGAGGTTTGTCCTTCGCTTTCTGGAGATGGGATGCAAGTGGTCACTATTCCTGGACCCAAGGGCAACAAAGGAGACACAGGACTACCAGGGATTGGGGAGCCAGGAAAAACGGTGAGAATAAGTGAGGAAAAAAACCATAAAAAAATGGAAACTCTTGGAAGGGAAGACAGCAAGGTGCTGGTTTGTGAATACACACATATAACACTGGGATATAATTAGCTCATGTTTCAGAACATAACACATTTCATGGATATAATCTCTATTTGCTACAATATTTTAAATAAATATATATATATGTTTGTAACATACTCAGTCTATTGTGCCCCTTTTCCTCTGGGTGCTGGGTTCATTTTTGGATTTGTTTACATATAAATGTATGCTTTGCTTTGGAATTATAGCTACATTTTCAGAAGCAACATTTGCTTGCTACTAATTAGCATGATCAAATTTGAAGCACATTATAAATGGCACTATAGAAAGCCATTTAATTTCGCTACGCTTTGTCCTTGAAATTTTCCATTTTTGACACCTGACCCTAGTGTACAAATTGCATTCCACTGGCAGTTTTACTTACAAATCTAAATATCTTTAAACAAAGTTCTTTCCAAATGTGAAAGTGCCAGCAAAGTATAAACATAACATTTATTTATTTAAATGTAATAAAATGAAACAATGAAATATGTTTACCAGAAATTATCAGCCCATGGGAAAATATGTGTTTCACAAACGCCTGTGGGCAGCTGTACCCCCTTTTTGGTTTTAGACTATGGCAGTTTACATTTGTGTTTTGTGTTTTTTTTTTTCTAAAGAGGTAAAAAAAAGTTTAGCTGTTAGTATATACTAGGGGTCCTCAAACTCCGCCCCCCCCCCAGATGTTGCTGAACTACAATTCCCATGATTCTCTGGCTATCTATGTAATTCAAAGACTCATGGGAGTTGTAGTTCAGCAACATCTGGAGGGCCGGAATTTGAGGACCCCTGGTATATACCATGTATATGGAATATTCATACAATGCAGCGTGACTAAGTGAGACATAGGGTACTGCAAAAGAAGGACAGAATGAAAGCTTTAGTAATTGTTAAAAATCAGAAGAATATGAGAGGTTGCTCTTTTTAAACTTCAATGCTGATTACTTAGGCCAAACTATTTGGTTGGATGTACATGATTGATTTTGTATTGTATAATCAGGTGGAGGGCATCAGCTCTCGGACCTGAATTAAGCAAAAAACGCACCCCAGCATGGCTCCTTGCCTAGAGAAACAGATAAGCTGTAATCACTGTCAAGGGAAACTTACCTCTATCAAATGCACACCTCCTGGCAGTGTCAGTCACCTTCTCTTTATAATTCAGTATATGGAGACAGTTGAATCCATACACCAGGAAATTAGCCATCCCACTAGAACGTGTGATTAAACTGTTTAGCTTTATTCTTACATTATATTTTTTTTAGGTTTAGACTTTGAGTGGTTAACTATGTGACTAATGAAAGGGTTTGTTTGGGTTTTGGAATCGGGTTACATTAAGGTTAAGAAAAATGTTGAGATTAAAGGGTTATTTGTAAATTACACACTCCCCTGTTTTGTTAGTCCAGTCACAAGCCTATTATTGATAACAGAGATGCAGGAGCTGTTTTACAGTTTTGGTCACTCATGTCTTATCTCTTCCTCCTGCAATGCACTTCTCGTGTCGGAGAGATTATTAGTGGATAGAAAATGTTTTTCACTTCCTGTACATCAGCACACAAGACGAGCTGGGACAGCACTGTGTTTTACACCCCTTATAACTGATCCTGCAGCTCTGCCCCCTAGTGGAGAGGAGCCTGTAGGCAGGTGCTTACTCTGCCTAATGGAAAATCCAGCCCTGGAAGGGACAGGATTTCTAACACATTTCATGCCACAGAACACTTTCAGGGTTATTCACTAAAGTGAGAATTGTCAGGAATTAAAAGTGAATTTTTAATTTTAGGCCAAAATAACTGAACTGAAAAAAATCCTAGGTCAGCTATTTTGGTCTTAAATTTGAAATTTACTTTGAATTCCTGACAATCCTCACTTCAATAAATAACCCTGTTTGTCAAAGTCTCAGGAATCTCTGAAACATTATTCCCTTTAATAATACAGACTGTAAATGTATTTTTCAATCTCACTCATAAAACATTTGCAGCAGTTTTGCTTAAAATAGATACTATGAAGCAGTGTTGATATATATATATTTAGAAGTGTGTTTCTGTAAATGCAGCCATAGCTACACCTCCCCTAGCTGTGACACACCAGCCTCCACAAAAAACAATCATGGTTTTATGGTTTCATTTTCAGTCAGCTCTTACAGCATACTGTGTTTACTTTAGACGTTATGATTTCTGGTGCTTGATTTTGACACCAAAGTTCAAAATGTGAAAAAGAGAGATTTCTGGCGTTTTTAGCATCCTTATTACACCTGGAAATAAGGATGCTAAAAAATTTAGACTTTTTTTTTTTTCAGGAAGGCTGTGTAAGTCCCAGCCAGGGAAAGTGTGGCTAGGGCTGCATAAACAAACTTATTTAACTCCTAAATGGCAGCTAACGCTGTTTTGGTGCCTAGAGTGTCCTTTTAACAGTATATATGATGATCTGATTCGCTTCAGATGCCCAGTGAGGGGACTTCAGACAGACTACCAGTAGATTAGATATTCTTTGAATTCTATCACCTATATAGCCCTTTCCCTCAAACCATTAGTCGAGGTATAGTGCAAGGGTAAAACAGAACTGCGTTATTGAGCACACACCACATACATTTATAATCCCTCAATCCATACAATGTAACACAATCCAATCTGCTCCCTGGCACCACTCTGTGTTGGCTGATAAGGGTAAATTAGATCAGTCCATGGTTAATGCTATGGGGAAACCGAGATTCCCAGAGTACTTAGGAATATAGCACCCAAAATTTCTGGTTATTGCCAGATGCCTCCTCACCTCCCTGACATCCCCACCAAACGGCGCTGTGATTGGTGGTTGGGGGACAGAGCGAAACCCGATCAAAGATTCACTGTATTACAGCATAGTTCTGATCCAGCGACTAGTTCCATAGCGATTCAGGGTATCTCAAGCACTCGGTGTGGGAATGGGTCCTGGTGATCCTCAGAATTAAACCCAGCTTTAACTGGGGATTAAATTAGCATCCAGGGCCCTCCCATACCCCCTCTCCACAGTGACAATAGGTCTTTTTTGTTCTTTTGGGGACAGGGTCGATAGTCTGTGAGCAGGAGGCTAGCCTCCTAGCTGCTTCACGAGCCAGGGCCACAGGGACTTCCGTTGTGTATGATATTGGGTCTGTGCGACCCTATCACTGATTAGCACAGGGAGCATAGAATAGTGGGGACTATGTATGTTTTTGAAAACTGACCTTAAACTTAAGTTAAGAAGCAATGCTTGAACGCAAATAAGAAACAAAGCATTAAAATATTAATTCAAGATGGTTTCATATAATCTTATAATTATATTATAATATATAATATAATCACTATGTGTCTCTACTAAGATAAGTTATTTTTAAGACTAAAATGTTGCTTTGCAATAGGTGCAGACATACAAAAATATGAGAAAACTTTAAATCATAGCACACCCATCAAATAGTGATTAACATAGTATTTGGGTACTTTTATTTGGAAAAGTGACTTGTATGTCTAATACATTGAAACTCATTTTAAGAAGCTTGTACTTCTCCGGGAATGGCTTGGTGAGTGAAGATTATAGGAGTCTAACTCCAGAATTACATAGATCAAGAGACTGACAATCCTGATTGTTTTTCTTTATATTTTCAGTATACCACTCTATGTGACTATTGACAAATGACAGCTAGTCCTATTATATATGCATGTTTGTCCAGTGCTTTATCAGCACAATACATTATCAATCTCTCCTTCTCTTGTACTGTTTTGTTGTTTTTTTAAAGCTTGTTCATTTATGTTAGTGTATTAACAAACAGTCACTCCAGTTGCACTTTATTTGCCTACTTTAAAATTGTTATGTTTTTCCAACATTGATCTATAATCGCTGTCTTATCTTTTCCAGGGAATTCAAGGACCAAAAGGTGATCAGGTATATCTGGCTTGGTATGGAGTGTGAGCTCACATCACATTGTTGGCACTGCTTGTTTTGTGTTTATCCTCCCACCTACACTGCATAGTCCCCACTCATTCTACTGACACTAGCAGCCATCACCTGCTAGGCGATAAGGATGACATGTGATATACATTGTTAAACCCAGAAATGGATCATGGAAATTTTCTATTATTAAATTACAGATACCCAGTGCCATTAGACAATAGAACTGCAAACAAGCTGTTGTTCATCGATTTTATTACATGAAATAGATGGACAGGCATATAGATAATCCCCTGCCTAATTTGAAATCATGTTTGGATTTTGAAATTAATAGAGTAGAAATGTCTAGTTTTTGTCTTGTTTCTAATTATTTTTTCTTTTTACTTTTATACTCTTTATTGAATACTGTTAATCTTTTATTTCTTGATGATCATAGGGAGAGAAAGGTCCAGGTGGGGAGAAAGGAGAAAGGGTGAGTGAAGCAACTGTTTCTAAATGTGGAATCACCTAAATTAAACTACTGTAATATTCATTTAGCATAATAAATGAATGTCCTCTTAGGGTTCTAGAGATTCAGCCTGGTCGCATGGTTTATGTCTCCAGACATTTTGATGATGTTGCATTCCTATAAATTAATGTATGGTTCACTTTTACATACAGTAGAACAAGGTTAAAGCAAGTTAACATACCATGAACTTACATGAAATATGATGTAGTATAGTAATACTCATGCAGAAAGAAACTTCACTGGAATTCTACAAACAAGTGGCAGAGTAGTCGCAATTATGCCAGAAAAAGATAACACTTACGGGGCTAAAACTTAAGTAAATACTGGTGATAGTGAAAATACAAACTAATAGAAGGTTAACTCCTATGAAAATGCATGACAATAAATCTTAACTTTTATTGTATAACTAATAAAATAAGGAATCCAGATTTCCTTCCAAATCAAGTTAAAAAGAGCCATAATTTGAAAACAGAATAATAGGTTCTTGACAAAGTGTGTATATGCATATATTGTGTATACATATATGCAATTGATAGATTTAAAATAAAATATTGTGGCACATGTTTAAACAAGCTCTAATTAACACATACATATATGTACATATATATATATACACAGTTGTAATCAAAATTATTCAACCCCCATTGAAAATCAGGTGTATTGTCAAAATGTACACCTCTTCAGCTGTTTTCAATGAACAAATCAATCGCAATTGATATAGTTCAACACAACAAATGCTTCAACTGGTTTCCCTAAATTCAACTGAAAATGCAACTTTTAATGACTTCTCCAGTCTCAAAATTTTTCAACCTCCTGAATAGAATCCCTCACAACAGCACAAATATGCAAAACACATGTTGTCTCAAAAACACCTGGTGCAACTAATCACTTGAAAAGTTTGAACTGACTATGGGTTTTTTGAGTGTCACATTTGAGTGTATGCTAGAAATATGGCAAAGTAAAAAAAAATGGTCCACAAAGTTAAGAGAAGAGATTATAGCCCTTCACAAACAAGGAACAGGCTCCTAAAAGATAGCAAAGGCACTAAATGTTCCTAGAGACACAGTTGGAAGCATAGTTCGCAAATTCAAAATTGAAGGAACAGTGGCAACACTACCTGGACGGGGCAGAAAAAGGAAGCTATCAGGAAGTCAACCAGTTTTCTGAGAAGGCAGGTTTTGAAAAAACCTCGAGCAACTGCAAAAGACCTGCAGCAAGACTTGACGGCAACAGACACTGAGGTTTCACAGTAAGGCGCATGTTAAACGCATAAGGTTTCCATGCCAGAACTCTAAGACATATGCCACTACTGACCCAAAAGCAAAATAAAAGTCAGCTCCAATATGCTCAAAATCATATAAATAAGCCAAAGAAGGTTTTGGATTCTGTTCTGTGGAGCAATGAAACAAAACTTTAACTTTTCCTCCAAAGGAAACGGACCTTCAGCGTCAGATTTTCCCCATAGGAAAGCATTGAATAATAATAATGCTTTCCTATGGGGAGGTGTAATGCGCGCGCAGCCATTGCCACTAGAAACCTGCAGTGTGTGGTAGGCAAGATTAATTAATTGAAGTATCAGGAAATCGTAGGCGAAAACGTTGTGCCTTGTTGAAGTTGAAGCTTGGGCATCATTAGACCTTCCAACAAGACAATGATCCTAAGCATACTTTAAATTCCACCAAGGCTTGGTTGCAGAAGAAGCCCTGGAAAATTCTACAGTGGCCATTATAGTCACTTGACTTGAACCCCGTAGAAAATCTCATGCTTGGTTTGAAAGGTGGCGGTTGCAGCATGCAAACCCAAGAATATTAATGAACTGGAGGTCCTTTCTCATGAGCAATTGGCTAAGATTCCTCAGGAATGTTGCCAGAAGCTTGTATTTGGCTATGCATCTTGTTAGCAGCAGGTCATAACTGCAAAAAGATGCTCTACTAAGTACTAAATATGCTTTCCATGAATGGGTTGAATAATTTTGAAGCATTTGTTATGTTGAGCTATTTCTATTGCTTTTGTTTTGTGTTCATTGCAAACAGCTGAAAGTCTGTAAATTTTGACTAAATCTGATAAACCTGATTTTCAATAATTTGTATTACAACTGTGTATATATATTTTTCTTAAATAACAAGGTAAGGATGCTCAACAACAAGGTAAGGATGCAGAAGATGGTTTAATGTCAAAAGCCATACCCCAAGACGAGATATATATATATATATGTCATGTCTTGGGGTATGGCTTTTGACATTAAACCATCTTCTGCATCCTTACCTTGTTGTTGAGCATCCTTACCTTGTTATTTAAGAAAAATTTGAAAATCAATATTGTTTTTTACCAAAACGTTTGCCATTCATTTTAGAGGCAGACAAAACAACACAAGAATTTTAATTCCACAACATCTGAAAGACTGTCTGTTGGTTACAGTTAATCCACAGAAATCAAGTTTCTTATTTTGCTTTCACACTTCAAACTATTAGCTAACAGAGTAAATTCAGTCCATTTCCTTTCAAAATTATTTCACTGATTCAAAAAGACATTACAGTAAATAAAATTACGATGTTGTGTGTAGTGTGTTGCAGCAGCACCACCTAGTGTGACTTTTAGATATAAAAAAGGTAACTATGTAAAATAGCAAGGTCCACACTGGATATTAATTATGCACTGCATCATGGTGATTTTACTGTGCAAATACAGTCTATGAAAATTATTATGTGCTTTAATACTTTAAAAAAAAATTTAAAAAAAATTCCACATAGTGTAACCTTCTAGGTCTTGTACAGGGAGTGCAGAATTATTAGGCAAGTTGTATTTTTGAGGATTAATTTTATTATTGAACAACAACCATGTTCTCAATGAACTCAAAAAACTCATTAATATCAAAGCTGAATATTTTTGGAAGTAGTTTTTAGTTTGTTTTTAGTTTTAGCTATGTTAGGGGGATATCTGTGTGTGCAGGTGACTATTACTGTGCATAATTATTAGGCAACTTAACAAAAAACAAATATATACCCATTTCAATTATTTATTATTACCAGTGAAACCAATATAACATCTCAACATTCACAAATATACATTTCTGACATTCAAAAACAAAACAAAAACAAATCAGTGACCAATATAGCCACCTTTCTTTGCAAGGACACTCAAAAGCCTGCCATCCATGGATTCTGTCAGTGTTTTGATCTGTTCACCATCAACATTGCGTGCAGCAGCAACCACAGCCTCCCAGACACTGTTCAGAGAGGTGTACTGTTTTCCCTCCTTGTAAATCTCACATTTGATGATGGACCACAGGTTCTCAATGGGGTTCAGATCAGGTGAACAAGGAGGCCATGTCATTAGATTTTCTTCTTTTATACCCTTTCTTGCCAGCCACGCTGTGGAGTACTTGGACGCGTGTGATGGAGCATTGTCCTGCATGAAAATCATGTTTTTCTTGAAGGATGCAGACTTCTTCCTGTACCACTGCTTGAAGAAGGTGTCTTCCAGGAACTGGCAGTAGGACTGGGAGTTGAGCTTGACTCCATCCTCAACCCGAAAAGGCCCCACAAGCTCATCTTTGATGATACCAGCCCAAACCAGTACTCCACCTCCACCTTGCTGGCGTCTGAGTCGGACTGGAGCTCTCTGCCCTTTACCAATCCAGCCACGGGCCCATCCATCTGGCTCATCAAGACTCACTCTCATTTCATCAGTCCATAAAACCTTAGAAAAATCAGTCTTGAGATATTTCTTGGCCCAGTCTTGACGTTTCAGCTTGTGTGTCTTGTTCAGTGGTGGTCGTCTTTCAGCCTTTCTTACCTTGGCCATGTCTCTGAGTATTGCACACCTTGTGCTTTTGGGCACTCCAGTGATGTTGCAGCTCTGAAATATGGCCAAACTGGTGGCAAGTGGCATCGTGGCAGCTGCACGCTTGACTTTTCTCAGTTCATGGGCAGTTATTTTGCACCTTGGTTTTTCCACACGCTTCTTGCGACCCTGTTGACTATTTTGAATGAAACGCTTGATTGTTCGATGATCACGCTTCAGAAGCTTTGCAATTTTAAGAGTGCTGCATCCCTCTGCAAGATATCTCACTATTTTTGACTTTTCTGAGCCTGTCAAGTCCTTCTTTTGACCCATTTTGCCAAAGGAAAGGAAGTTGCCTAATAATTATGCACACCTGATATAGGGTGTTGATGTCATTAGACCACACCCCTTCTCATTACAGAGATGCACATCACCTAATATGCTTAATTGGTAGTAGGCTTTCGAGCCTATAGAGCTTGGAGTAAGACAACATGCATAAAGAGGATGATGTGGTCAAAATACTCATTTGCCTAATAATTCTGCACTCCCTGTATGATACATACACATTATACAAGATACAATGGTAGTTCACATAGTTTTGATTGTCCTTGACATAAATGATCCTACAGGTGTTTATTATAGCATCATTTTAATCATTTGGTCACCCTTACCATAGAAACATAGAATGTGACGGCAGATAAGAACCATTCGGCCCATCTAGTCTGCCCAATTTTCTAAATACTTTCATTAGTCCCTGACCTTATCTTATAGTTAGGACAGCGTTATGCATATCCCATGCATGCTTACCACAATATAATCGTATGTTTGACAGGGATGCACATTATGCACAGTGTTAGCTTGATGACCTATTAATTCATTGTAAAATTAATTAATTGATCACCTAATAAACAGTAGCAACATAAAATCTGCAAGTTCCCTTTATTAGACTTATCACAGTATAACTGTGGTTACAATAAACCATTACTGTATTCATCTGATGTTTGACAAATGTCATCTGCTTGTCCCAACCAATGGGAACCCACAGCAGATGGGCCAAAAAAAATATTCTAACCAAAAACTAACTAACCCAAATTAATAAGTAGTGCCTGGGATCCAAAGTATTTGAATAAGCACTGTAACATATGCATATGTAAATACTTATCCACACTATTTATTTAATAACAATAATATATAAATACTCATATAATACAAAAATGACTTTAATGCATTACTTGTATTATATGGATTTTGAAAAGTCTTGCTTGGGTATAAAAACTCAAAAAATCATGCTTCCACAATATCCCAGAATTCCTAGTTTGACATGCAAATGAGCACAGACAGACTTCATTTTTCAGCCATCACTTCATTTATGTTATTATTATTAAAGCTGATTTCAAGTGCTTAGTGCATACTTCGAAATTAACCAAATCAGAACCTGATGAAATTATGCTATCATTACTCATTTCACTGGTTCTCACATTTTTTCCTATTTTGAAATGAGGAATATTTGTGTATAGTCTTCTGGAAGTAGAACCTGTGACCTTGAGGTCTGAGCATATTTTACAGTTGAATTATTTGCTACATTAATACATTATTAACCCCTTCCCGACCGCGGATGTATCAGGGTACGTCCGACAAAAAACGGTCCTTAAGGACCGCGGACGTACCTGATAAGTCTGCGGCTAATTAGAGCGCTTGAAGCTTGCTTCCAGCCACTCTGATGGTATTGCAGCGATGCCTCGTGCAATACTCCTTACTGCTGGGCGCTGGAAGATCGCTCCCCCTGGAGTGATCACTTCCAGGTTGCTCCACGTGGTGCCCGGCAGTAAAGCAGAGCATTGGAAGCCATCGGTCAGGCTTCCGATTCTCTGCCTGTGCGGAGTTCCTCGAAGGCAGTGCATCATGGAGCTTCTGGGGTGTCCCTAGCCTGTCTCATCATAGAGGCAGGCTAGGGACATCCAATCAGAGCTTGCCCCTATAACAATTTTATTATAACTATGATCCCCATTTGTCTGATCAGGTCAATATTAGTGATCAGTGTGGATCTCCCTCCCTCTCATCAATAGGCATGCGCAGCCTATTGCATTAGGGTGTGCACCCTAAAGCACAAACACGCCGCATGTATATATGTATATATATACATACACACATACATATACTGCTGTTTGTGTGTGTGTGTGTGCTGTTAGTGAGCTGTGTGAGGGTGCTGTGTGTGTAAGGGTGCTGTGTGTGTGTGTGTGTGTGTGAGGGTGCTGTTAGTGTGATGTGTGTGTGAGGGTGTTGGTAGTGTGCTATGTGGGTGATGGTGCTGGTAGTGTGCTGTGTGTGAGGGTGCGGTTTGTGTGTGAGGGTGCTGGTAGTGTGCTGTGTGTGAGGGTGTTTGTGTATGTGTGTTAGGGTCCTGTTAGTGTGATGTGTGTGTGAGGGTGCTGTTTGTGTGATATGTGTGTGTGAGGGTGCTGTTTGTGTCGTTTATTTGTGAGGGTGCTGTTAGTGTGCTGTGTGTGTGTGCTGTTTGTGTGAGGGTGCTATGTGTTTGTGTGAGGGTGCTGTTAGTGTGCTGTGTGTGTGTGAGGATGCTCTGTGTGTGAGGTTGCTGTATGTGTGCTATGTGTGTGGGTGATGTATGTGTGTGGGTTCTGTTTGTGTGAGGGTGCTGTTTGTGTGCTGTGTATGTGAGGGTGCTGTGTGTGCGCGCTGTTTGTGTTAGGGTGCTGTATGTGTGTAGGTGCTGTATGTGTGGAGGGATTGTGAAGGTGGGGGCAGATTAGAAAATAACCCCCCTCCCTTCTTACCTTATGGGGGGATCCTTGCTGTCCAAGGGAGAGTGAACTCTAGCCGCGGCAATGCTCAGATCTCGCGAGAAGAACCTGGCAGAGCTTCTGTCTAGAGCTCCCCAGGTCCTCTGCTGCCTCCCTCCATGCTGCTGTGGGCTGGTGAGGTAGATCTTTGATCTCCCTGCCGGCCCATGGAGGCTTAGAGCAGAGCCGGCACTCAGATAGCGCCAGCTCTGCATGATCCGACAGGTGAGATCTGGAGATCCCCACCCCCAAATTCCCACCCCCCAAAAAAAATAATATACACTTGTGTGTGTATATATATATATATATATATATATATATATATATATATATATACGTACACACACACATACTCAGACACACACTCACAGACACATATATTCACAGACACACATACACACTTACAGACACATACACTCGCAGACACACACACATACATTCACAGATACATATACACACACACACAGACACACACACTTACAGGCACACACACATACATTCACAGACACACTTACAGACACATACACTCACAGACACACACATACATTCACAGACACACACATACACACACTTACAGGCATACACACATACATTCACAGACACACACACATACACACACACACAGCGCGGGCTGTCTGCTGTAGCTAGGAGCCGGAATATGATATTATATTCCAGCTCCCGCCATCAGCAACCGGCGCGCGGCGAGAGGGAGCAGAGAGCACACAGCTCCCTCGCCGCTTATTGTATGGAGATAGGTGCCCGACCGGAGAGGGGAGGGGGGTGTCCATCACCTCTTGCTTCCCCTGTCATGACAGGGAGAACACGGGGGGGAGGAGGAGGGCATTTGGGGGAGGCAGAGTGCCTGCAGGAACAGCGGGAACGGTGTTCCCACCCGTTCCTGCAGGACTCACAGGCGTGCCGCAGGGATTAGGGTGTGCCCAGGCACACCCGGCACACCCTGTGCGCACGCCTATGCTCTCATCACTTGTGTTTTAGTGAGAGAGGGAGAGAGATCTGTGTTTTGGGTAGAGATTTAGGTAGGTTTAGGTAGGGATTTGTAAAATTGTGAGACCCAAAGGTTCTGTTCAGAGCCATTAACCCCTATCTTGCCAGTGATCACTATAACCACTGGCTCTTGCACAGCAGTACTTTTTTGCTGTCTGTGCATTTTTTTGGGGGTAAATTTTTTTTTAGTGGTTTATTTTTTGGTGACAGATCACTAAATAAAGTGATTGTGATCATGTCACAGAGATTGTATAGCGCTAAGGAGGCAAATGCCATCCTTGCGTTAGAGTCTGACTCGTCTACTTCTGACTCCGACCCTGATTTTGACCTTTCCAGGTGCTCAGATACATCACTAAATACAGTGTCTGCTGCTAGTGATGTATCTAGTTATGATGTATCTGTGGCTGCTAGTCTCCCAGCCCGAAGGAGACGTACTGCTGAGGAGTGAGTAGTGCCTCATCGCCAGAGGCCAGATATCTCACCCTTCACTGCAAATCCTGGCATCAATGTGGATGTCGCAGGATTTAGCCCTCAGCAGTTTATGGAGGTGTTTCTTGGCGATGATGTATTGAGGAACATTGTCGCCCAAACTAATTTATATGCCCATCAGTTCCGTGCTTCTAAGACTGAGTCTTTTTTGGCAAAGCAGCAATGGGCCCCCATCAATGTGCCAGAATTTAAAAAAAAAAATGTGGGCATTGACTATGCTGATGGGCATCATAAAGAAGCCCTCCATCTGCTCCTACTGGAGTATTAGCCCCATCTGCTCTAGCCCCCATTTGCTCCCAATGTATGTCGAGGAAGAGGGATGAAATGATTCTACAGTTCATGCACTTCAGCGACAACAGCCTGTGCCCCCCTAAGACGCATCCCCAGTTTGACTGTCTGTATAAAATCCGCCCCCTGAGAGGCTTAAACACCTGAAAGGAATATATGTGTGGATGAATCCCTGATAAAGTATAAGAGAAGACTGGGATTTAAGCAGTATATTCCTTCCAAGCGCTCCAGGTATGGTGTAAAGGTGTATAAGCTCTTTGAAAGCGAGACTGGGTATACTCCGGCCTTCCGGGTATAGGAGGGAAAGGATACCCACCTTGACCCTCCAGGTTGCCCAGAACATATGGGAACCAGTGGCAAAATTGTCTGGGACCTGATATTCCCCCTGATGAACAAAGGGTACTAATTTTTATACAAGTGTCCGTTTGATCAAGCTACTGTATTGTTTTGATACAGTAGCTTGAGGTACAATAAAAAAGAACCGCGCAAGTTTCCCAGGACAACAACTTGTACGTACCCAGCTACGAAGGGGGAAGACCTCAGCTCTGCGCCAAGAGGAGCTGCTGGCAGTTAAGTACAGAGACAAGAAGGATGAGTACCTTCTTACCACCATCGACACTGAGAGGACTGTGGAGGTCTCTGTACTTTGCAGAGCTGAGAGCACAAGGAAGCCAGTGTGCATCAAGGCCTATAACCGGCATATGAGGAGGGTTGATCTGGTAGATCAGCTACTGCAGGCCTACCTAAATATACGGAAGACAAGGGCTTGGTACAAAAAGGTTCCAATCTTCTTAATGTAGATTGCAACCCACAACGCTTTTTTGTTGTGCAAAAAAGCAAACCCCGGAATGCAACTGAATTTTTTACAGTTTCAGCTCCAGATCATTTCATGGATTTTGTACCGTGATGCACCTGCTTCCCGGGCGGTGATGGGAGAGAGCAGAGTTGAGGCTACACATTTTATTTTTAAAATCCCCACACTGCTGCAAAGCAGAATCCACAAAAAAGATGTAGAGTCTGTTTTAAGAGGGAGACGAGAAAAGATACCATATATTACTGTCCTGATTGCCCTGGACTGCCTGGACTGCCTGGACTCTGCTTCAAACTATACCACACACTGGTCCATTTCTAATTTTCTTTTAACATTTGCCGTTCAGTTTTTTTTTTTTTGGTTACGTTTATCCTATGTATGGGGGGGCATAGGTGTACTCAGGAGGCCTTGCAGAAAACAAACTGGAGTGTTTTCTTGCAATAACCAACAACAGGCTCTTCTAAATCACAGTCAAATAACAATGTGGGTAAAAATTTTAACTGAAAAGTTACCACCACACACTTTCTCCAATTTTGTAGGCTAAAACGGTTGCATCAAAGGCATCAATGCACTCCATATATAATACCATGGGGTGTCTACATTTCAAATATATACACTTTTATGGCAATAAATAAAACTGGGGTACGTGATATGCCCCAAACTAAAGATAGGCCTATCAGAAGAAATACTCTCAATTTAATTACAAGTCATACAATTTTAACTGAACCTTCCCAAAACCCTGGCAAACCTACGCATGGGTGGCATGGTTGTATTCAGGAGGCCTTGCAGAAAACAACCTGAAGTGTTTTCTTGCAATAACCAACAACAGCCTCTCCTAAATCACACACAAATGTGTGTGTAAAGATGAAAATTAAAAAATTACCACCGCACATTTTCTCCAATTTTTTGACTAAAACGATTGCATCAAAGGCATCAAAACACTCCATATACAATGCCATGGGGTGTCAACTTTACAAATATATCCACGTTTATGGAAAGAAAATAAATTGGGATATCTACAAAGGTCCCCAAAAAGAAGATAGGCAAAGAAGGTATTTGAAAAACACGTCAGAAGTTTGGCATTGCACCCCCTAAACAACCCAACAAACCTAGGGTGTCTACCTCTCAAAAATATATGGTTTGATGGGAGTAATTTACATTGGCCGGCTTAAAAAATGTCCCAAATAGGACATGGGTGCATGATGACCAGCTGTGAAAATTCCAAGTTGAAAAACTGGAATTTGTACCCTCCAAATAAGATCTTTTAGCCCCCAACACACCTGTACATGAGTGGTATCACTGTACTCGGGAGATGGTGCTGAACACATATTGGGGTGTTCTTTGGATGTAACCCTTAAAGTTCTCAGTACATGTATTCTTAAATTGCTGTGTGTGTCAACAAAATCACCAATTATTATTTTTTCATTTTTTTTGGCATAGATTGGTGCTAAAATGGTTGCATGAAAAGAGTCAAAATACTGCACGTTTAATACCTTAGGTTGTCTTCTTTTAAAAAATATATACATGTGAAGGGTTATTCAGGGATTCCTGACAGATATCAGCGTTAATTTAAAAAAAAAAAGTTTGGAAATAGCAAAGTGCTACTTGTACTTATAGCCCTATAACTTGCAAAAAGAACATGTTAACATTGGGCATTTCTAAACCCAGGACAACATTTAGAAACTATTTAGCACGGGTGTTTTTTTGGCGGTTGTTAATGCATAACAGATTTTGGGGGTCATAGTTAGAAAAAGTGTGTTTTTCAAAAATAATTCATCATATTTTATAGTAAATTATATGATTTGATGAAAATAATGGTATCTTTAGAAAGACCATTTAATGGCGAGAAAAACGGTATATAATATGTATGGGTACAATAAATGAGTAAGAGGAAAATTACAGCTAAACACAAACACTGCAGATATGTATAAACAGCCCTGGTCCCAAACAGTAAGAAAATTGAAAAATGGTCTGGTCACTAAGGGGTTAAACAGCTACACTGACTCCTTATACAGACAGACAGACACACATGTGCGCACTCACTTCAAACATATATACCTCTCAAAGGCATTCACATATAAACATAGCTAAATAGTCACACCCACATACATGCATATCTAATTAGCCAAACACACACACATATACATATATATATATATATATATATATATATATATATAATGTAAATGGTTTAATTAGCTCGAAATATATATATTTGGTCATGCAGTGTTGTATGACTTTTTGACATTAAACTTATTCTAGCATTCTGATTACAGTTTGCCTGTGCCTTACCCAATCTTATTCTTCTTACACAGCTGTTTCACTTAATAGTCGTGCTGTGTATATATTATGTTAATGGTCATTAGAACCTATCTGGTATAATAGCTTGATCAAACACCTGATTACATTCTTACAAAATCACTGACTTTGTGCAGGTATACCTAGAAGATTTCATGCTGTTTTGAAGGCAAAGGTAGTCAGATCAAATAGTGATTTTCTTTAGATTTTTTTTTTTTTTTATTCACTTTGCATTTTGTTAAATGATAAATATAAACTATTAAGATGTCAATTTTTGATAGCATTTTAACTTTACAGGATTTATCACACCTGTCTAAAACTTTCATAGATGTGTATATCTAATTAGCCACATACTTAACTATACCTGATTCCTCATATACAACCTTATATATATTGCACATAGCTAACTAGCCATACAATAATACAGATCTGATTAGTTCTTTTACCTGACCACCCATCTCTGTTGCATGGGAGAATGGATTTTGGGAGAAGAGGTCCAGGGTATGCATGGAATAGACTGAATTACTAGTCAAAGTAACCAATGGACAGAACTGCCAGCACTCAACTTGTCCTGATAAATTACACTACACTGGCAGTAGTTTCACAAAGAGCCGTTTGGTGGCTCTGGTGCTCGAGGTGTTGAAAAGGGACCTCCTGAACACGATAAATCCTAACCTGATAATTAATAACTAGGAACACACGAGTACTGATCTATTTCTACATTTATTGATATTTTGAGAGCTAAGTTATTACTGATCCCCTATTATGTGCTGTATTTCAGTATCAAGTAGAGATTTTTCATATTAATTAAGCAGCGGACATGTTATTGTTTATTTACATTTACTATAAAGTATAGAAATAATATTGTTAAAAATTGTGTGTTTTTATAATTCTGTTATGCATGATTTGATTGAGAACATCATGCATTATAATTCATGTTGCTTTATTCCTAAGAAAATGATTACGATATATTATATCTTCTTTTCTCTTATGTAGCCTGAGCTTTATTTTATATCTCAGCAAAATAAATATCAAAAGTTTAAACATATTGCTAAATTCTGTTTTCAACGATTTGCAATGTAAATGGTTTAATTAGCTCCAACTGTGCTGCCTTCTGCTCCGAACTCAGAGGACATCAGTAATTGGACCCAAGTTCATTTTCATTTTGGAGAAACAGCTCTGTGGCAATAACCAGAAAGTGGAGCTCTGTGTTCAATATGAACGCGAGTGAGTGTGCTAGGAAGCTATATTCTTTACAGTGACCATAAAGCCTGATCATAAATGTAATTTTTAAAAGCTAGATTTACTACTTCCACACTTGCTAAACCACAGGTTATAAAGCTAGGGTATCTATCACAGGGCTATTTTCTAACATTGAATTTTAGCACTGAACTGGAATCAGTGAGAAAAATGACTGGCTACATATTTTCACCATGCATCTTTCATACATTATGTTCCCCCTATGTATGGTGTTCTGCTATGTATTATGTTTGACTATGTATTATATTCCATTATCCATGAAGGTCCGCTATGATTTTACATTATGTTGTGACGCTTATTACTCTACCTGAGATTAGGTGGATGCTCTATTGAGAGTAACGGTATGTAAAAAGAGCTTTATAGGGGAAGTTCTAAAAGTGGAGCATTTAGTAGGAATGTTGATTTCCATATAAATGTATCCATGTTTAAATAGGGTCTCAGAATTATTCTTTACAGTACTTGCCTCTTGTAGCTGTTGGGATTAAGATGGTTGAATAGCAGGTTAAAGCACACCAGAGGTTCATTTTCAACGTTCCTGTATTGTGGGTAGTGTTAGCTATATGTTGATTCTATGATATTTTTATGTTCTTACAGGGCGAGTCCTGCACTTTTTGCGAGCCATCCTTGGCTTCCATTAGAAAGATTCCAGGCGTACTGAAAGGAGAACCCGGTGAACCTGGAGTTGGACAGCCTGGACCTCAGGTTACTGACATTTTCATTTCTGTCCCCTACGTGAAAAGTTTCATTTTTATAACACGGCTGTAAAGAATGAAAACCCTTTCTAAGGGTTTCCATGCCTATTATTATTCTTCAGTAAACAAATTATGTCCTAACCAAACAATACTTAGCGGTATTATTCTATGCTAGTGATTTTTTTTTGCGAGTTAAACAGCAATACTATTTGTTGTGTAAAGTTGCTGGATGATGTCTATAGCTACTGGATTCCAATGCTTTCCTGAAAGCATTGTGATTGGCTTACAACACCACTTCTGATGATGTCGGCCAAGCAGGCAGATCAAGGACACAGCCAGCAGCAGACTGGAATAGAAGTAAGATTTTAGTATATTTAGGGGAGGAAGAGAGGCCAGGGGGGCTAGATGTTGGTTTTAACATTATAGGGTCAGGAATACATGTTTGTGTTACTGACCCTATAGTGTACGTTTTATGAGTGGGCCATCTTTGTGGGCATGCTCACCTTCTGAAGGGTTGTCAGTCTTATCTCAAACTCACTATGATGACATACAGCCTCCCAGCTGACCCCCACAATCCAGGATTATGCAGGGATCGTTACTGAAGCTTTCTCTGCATGTTCCTAGTGCCCGCTGCACAGACAAATACATCTAATGATGCGCATGTGCTACCTGGAGACAGTTTCCTGGTGTCCCTGGATGTGGGACACCAGAGCATTAAATTGGGATGGTGGGACACAACTGCCAAATTAGGACTGTCCTACTAAATGCGGGCAGTAGGGAGCCCTGCATCTAGAGTCAATGAATTATGCCTACATCGACCCTGTGGGTTATTTGCAAGATCATGATTCACCGGAATCCCATTAAGAAAGCATTGACTAATGCTTTGCTATGGGGAAATCCTAATCCGAGCACGGCCATTGCCACGCATGCGCATTAGGTCTCCCCCGCCAGCTGACGTCGCAAGGGAGGAGCGTGGGCAGAGCTTGACCCAGCGCCAAGGGACAACGGCGCTTGATTCAGGTAAGTGACTGAAGAGGTTTTAACGACTTCAGCACCGCGGGGAGGGAGGCACTGTAGGAACCTATAGTGTCAGGAAAACGACTTTGTTTTCCTGGCACTATAGAATCCCTTTAACACTTCATTTGCTGATTTTAATCAAGGGACCTACAGAGGCTAATACTAAACTGAAAGAAAAAAAAAGAATTTTCAAAGGTTTGCAGTAACACTTTAAGGTTCTAAGACAATACATTTATAGTGGATCAACTGTAAAACAATTGCTCTTACGTTTACAATGCCCGAATGGGCTTTATTAGGAAGGTCCCCACTGCTCTTTTAATCCAGCAAATAAACCAGAAATTTACATGTAATCCAGCACTGGACAAAGCTCTCTGACCTAGTTTCCATGTCCATGTCGATATTATTGCTGCCTGCATGTGATTCAATCAAATGCTTGTCCTAGAGTGCTCTAAGCCTGGAGAGAAGAGGTTGTTCAGGGGAAGGAAGGAGGGAAATAAAAATAAATAAAAACTTTGAACAGGAGAAGTTATATGCACTGATGGGAAGGATGGAAGATCACCACTTCCACTTGCAGGTAATGCCAGAAGGTAGAAGCTCAGTACGTCTATTGCCAGCTAACTGCAGATTATTCTGTAGAAACGGTGAACGCACAGACTCCTACCACCATGACCACTACTAAAAGCAGAAGTTAATTGGTGTAACCATTTAAAGATACTGCACAATTTTAAACTCTGCCAGTGCCAATGATTACTTCAGTTTATCAATTAAAATCAGCAAAATAACTAAATAAATAACTGTGCATTGAAATTTGCAGAAACAGCTAACTTTGTGTCAGGAGTACCCAAACTATATAGTTCCACTATTGTGTCTCACAAACTTGTTTTCCTGGCACTATAGCTTCCCCCTCCCTTGCGGACCCCAAGAAGGGGTTAAAAAACCTGCAGTCCCTTACCTCAGTCCAGCACCTAGGTCCCACGGCACTGGCTCAGATCCCTTCTCTCCTCCACCTCCAACCGCAGCTGGTGGGGGAGACCTAATGTGCATACACAGCAATGACTGCGCTCGCATTAGGATTTCCCTATAGGAAAGCCTTATTGAACACTTTCATATGAGGATTCTGTTGATGCTGGATGTCCTCATGCATAGCATGAGGATGTCCAGCGTCAGTTAGGCGGCCAAAAGTCCTTCTAGTGGCTTTCTGGTAGACAGCCACTGGAGGTGAAGTTAACCCTAGCAGGTAATTATTTCTTAAAAACTGCAATAATTACCTGCTATTGGTTAACGGACCTGGGACAGTGCACCAGTGGTGTATTTTGGATTTGTGCTTCCCTAGGCACGACTAAATTCGTGCACCCCCAAAATCTAAATTTGCCCCCCCAATTCGTGTCAAGGCCACTTTTTTGACTGACAGACACATGCCCTCATTGATACATGCACTGATATACACTCACTGATAGATACACAGTCATTGGCACACACATTCAGTCATAAGCACACACTGTTTAACCCTTCCCCTCCCCCCCCAACTCCCTCCTGGAAAGTGCCGCCCTAGGCAAATGCCTTGTTTGCCTTGTGGTAAATACATCCCTGCAGTGCACCCAGACCATTTAATGAGCTGAATATGTCTAGGAGCCTATATTGTCCCTTTAACCTATACAGATAGATAGATAAATTGCCAGTATATGCATAAATTGTTTTTATTATACTGGGCTTAACATTTCAACATTTGGCAAGTCCTATGCTACTTATCAGGCCTAAAGCTTACTCGTCATGGTTGATCTACCCCTGCAGTAAGAGCAAATCTTGTGTTTAAACTTCAGAGTGCTTCAGAGTGAGTTATGCATTTGGGAAGTAATCAAACAAATTTTCCAACCAACCATTGTAACAGTGAAAACCTGGCAGGTGGAAGAAGAGTAAGAGGATAATGTGGTTCATATTTACCTATTATAAAAGCATGCAACTGTCCAATCCCCGGTTTTAGACCCACCCCAGACCACTGCAGTTATTGGCTGTGCTGCTTCTGGTACAATATGCTGCTTTCAAACAGAAGAGAGGATCCTCATTCTCTCCAGGGCTGAATTCCCACTCATCAATGATTATAATATAATATAGCCCTGATTATATTTATGTTGTTACTCGGAAGGTTATTCCACCTTCTACTGCTTTGTATGGGAGTGGATGGGAGTTTTGTTTTGGATTTTGGCAAGTTGCATTGTATTACAATCAGTTTGCAGAACAAACCTGCATAATGAGTTTATTGTGATTATTGTGATACATATTATGCTCATAGTCAATGGTTGGCAATAGAATCTGTTGCACAATACAGTGTCAATTCTTTTTTTCTAGTATGTGTTTTTAGGATAATTATTGGGGCATATTGATCAATATTATTCTTAAAAGTGACCCAGAAACATTAAATTTCCCCGTAAGGTATCAGATTCAGTGCAGAGTGGTAGAAATGTGTGTAATGATCTTTATCAGGTTATTATTTCATAAATGTGTTAAAGCATACCTAACATGATAAAAACAACTTAATTTCTGAATCAAATTTATTTTACACATTGTGCTAACAGAATTACTAGCAAATGTATAGCTCTCTCTAAAATCAGAAAACAAAATGAAAATTACCCCCTCATATCAATTACTAATGTGTCGGCAGTATTGAGGTAAATAGTCTGTGTCCCTTTAATGTACTGGGCTAGAAGTAAAACAGCATTGTGGCTGGCGTCCCCATTCTCAATAGAACATCGTTGAGGGTATATGGGAGTACCAGATGTTCTGCAGTGAGCAGTCAGGAATCTGTTTAAAGCAGTACATATCGCTGTCCTTTACTCTTTCTTAATGATAAACTGTATAACAGACCTGAAGTTTATGAAAAGAGACTGCAGTCCTATAGCTTCCTGCAGATCACATATAAACATGGGCTCACAATTAAGTTGAAGAACATCTGAGCTCCCATGGTCTGTACCTGTCACTCAGGACTATGGTTAATAGAGTTAACAGCTACCATAATAAGAATTTGTTTTACTAAGTTATAATAATGTGTTCCATCTGCTTTCACACAGGGAATGCCAGGGGTGCCTGGATTATCCGGAGTAAGAGGAGATAAGGTAATAATGTAATATTGTTTTATTTAGAATTCCACAGCACTGAATAATGTTCAACACTATGCGCATTATGCAACATTATCTTTAAATATTGATACATATTTATGTATTTTTATTATGGTAATCTGTACTTTATTCAGCTTTTTGTGGTTGAAATATACTTTATTTTGATTGACTAACGTTCAATAAAAATTATACACAAAAAAAATAATTCCACAGCACTGATCAATATGAATCTTTACCTATGGGAATTTTTGTCTCCCTGTTATTGAGCAGTTGTACTGTAAACTTCCTGTTTTTGTCTCCCAGTTATTGAGCAGTTGCACTGTAAACCCCTTCAAGAAAATTCACTCAGTCTATCTATATCTCACAGTACCTTAAAACATGTCTGGGTCTCACACAGTACATGTAGATAGCTATGTATCCCATATGTCATATACATAGATAGCGATTAATGCTCTAATGCTCTACAGAAGCATAGATATGTCTCCAACTATACATATATTTCATGACTGTGACTGTCCTCAGGTCTCTATTAATAATCATGTTGTGCTCTCTGTCAGTCTAAATAAACAGCTCTCTTTCATAGTGAAGCTGCACAGACATATCTTATTTGTTCTTCTATTTCATTTCTTCAGGGGGATCGTGGAATCGAAGGACCAGCTGGGACACCGGTACGTATGATGTTGCATTACTTTTTGTCCTTTTATCTGCATTATCGACTCTTTTAAAAGGTCTGATATATTACATAAGCTTTCTCTCTGTCCTGCAGGGCGTACCAGGAGATCTAGGGAAACCAGGTCCTTCTGGAATCAAAGGAGAGAAGGTTGAGTGAAATAACCTGTTTATTTTATGTTTGTCTGTGTTAAACGTATCTTTTGTGTGTTTTGGCACGGTCAAGCATGGTCTCTCAGTTTGTGTCCTTCTGTGTTTTAGGGGGAGCCCTGCACCTTGTGTCCAAGTCTTCCAGCTGAAGTAACAAAGCCTGATACACTTATTGCTGTGCCAGGGCCCCCAGGAGCAAAGGGGGAGCCAGGGGAACCAGGACTTGGAATTCCAGGAAAAAATGCAAGTATAAAGTGTTATAGAATATACATATATAGGACAGAGAGCAGAATAACATATATATATATATATATATATATATACTAATAGTCAATTAGTCGTTTACTGAAAAAGAGAGTTTTGCAATGAATTTTAGGTCCACTATTAAACAGACACTCTAAGAACCATACAACTTTATCTTAAAGATTTATGTATAAATCATGCCTTGTAGCATCACTGCTCAATTATCTGCAGTTGAGGAGTTAAGTTCTTTGTTTATGCACCTCTAGCCACATATCTTACAATTTTTTATTTTTTATTTTTTTTTACAGGCAGTGTATTTACTTTAGAAGTTTTTATCTTATGCTCTATTAACCCCTTCACAACATTAGGACATTCTATGCAGTCTTCATCCAACTGGAAGACCGTTAGGATGGCATCAAACTTCTTGCACTTTTGATGTCTGTAGTATTAAACCCCTGCTCACACTGGGGATACCAAGGTATCAACAGATACATGGAGCTCCTTTTTGTCAATTGGTTGTCATATTTAGAGGCCCCAAGCTGACTGAAGAGCTGTATGCAGCATTCAAAGTGAGTGCTGCATAAAGCCCTCTAAATATATATATATATATATATATATATATATTGTGGTTTTATTTTTTGAAATGCAGAATGAATGTGAAAAGTCATCAATCATATATGAGACTCGCAGGTCTCAAAAATCTTTTCGTAGTGTGGTTCAGGTCTTAAGAGTTTGCGTTATAGGGGAGTCATCACCTAGATTAGTTGTAGCTTCTTACTCTCTATGACACATTAGTGTGTGGAGGTGGTTACCTGCGGTGTCTCTGCTTAGTGTTACCCATCGTTTCTGGGTTGAGGCTGTATGTAGTTCCCGGAGTCTCTGTAGTACTGTTGCTTGGTAGTACTTGCGGATATCAGGTAGGGCGAGTCCACCCCAATCCCTTGGAAGACAGAGTTTTGCGTGGCATATCCTCACGTCCCCCTTCCACACATATTGGAGGATCACTGTTCTTAGCGTTGCGAAGAAGGTTTGTGGTACCATCCAGGGTATAGTGTGGAACAAGTATAAGATCCTTGGTAGGGCATTCATCTTCACCACCGCTATGCGCCCCTGCCAGGAGACGTGGTTGTAGTTCCATTTCCTAAGATCATCTAGAATGTTGTTTAGCAGAGACACGTAGTTGTGATCGTATATGTCCTTCTCTGTGTGTCTAATCCACAGTCCTAGGTATCTCATGTGTTCTGTGCACCAGTGAAATGGGAATCACTGTTGCAGTTGAACACATTCCTCCACCAGAACCGTGACGTTTAGTATATCACATTTGACGAGGTTTAATTTGAGTCCGGATAGGCGTCCATATTGTTGGAATTCGTCCATTAGTGGTGTTATGGATTCGAGTGGGTTGTTGATGAAGAACAACATGCCGTCCACATAGGCGGCTACTTTGTGTTCTTGTGCTTTGTGCCAAAATCCGGATATTGCTGGTGTTTCCTGATCAGATCGAGGAATGGCTCTAAGGCGAGTGCAAAGAGCAGTGGCGAAAGTGGGCATCCTTGCCTGGTGCCATCTCGTATGGTGAAGCTGTCAGTGAGTGCTCCATTGACCCGGGCCCTAGCGTTTGGATGTTGATAAAGTGCATTTATCCAGGTGAGCATCCTTTTGCCGAATTCGGCTCTCTAAATGCTTTTAAATCACTATGGTTCAGTGGTTCGCCACTTCGCCACTGTGATTCTCTGCCTGCATGTCCCACTGTCAATAGTGATTGGTGCTGGGATTTGCCAGCTGGACAGTATGACAGAGCTGCAACATGAGCTGGAGATCTTATTCATGCTGAATTCCCATAGTAGAGGGCACTCATAGAGCAATCTAATAAGAAATTCTAAATTAAATACCGTGTGAAATAAGTTAAAATGGGAGCTCTTTTTCAGGAAAGTGGGTAGGAGAATGACATGATCTATTCACCAAAGCCACTATTAAAACTAAAGTTCATTGCAGCTTAGAGTGTCCCTGTAATGGTAAATATTTTCACTGATGGTGGCTCTGGGTTTTTAACAGAGTATTTGTTTTAGAAACTGTTGATATTTAAATGTTCTACATATAGAGTACAATGCAATTGTAATCTAAATTAACATTACAACATAGATCTAATTTACTCAGAGATTGAACGTATCGCCTTGTCACGGGTGGCGGTATGGAAACCGGGACCCCGGAGTGCCTGATGAGAAGTTGGGAGTATTCAGCATTGAAGTGGATTATCAGGGACTGGTGCAGGGTAACCACACGCCCTCTGGTGTTGAGCACCAGCATTTGTGCTGCCACATACCAGGGCCCTGATGCAGCTACTGCGGATCCCAAGAGCTAGGAGCTTGATATGCAGAGCTCCCAGGAACTGGATAGGGAGGTACTGCAGCAAGCATGTATCCAGTACAGAAACAAGGCAAGACTAGAGATAGTCACAAAACTAGTAGAACCCAGAACCAGAGAAGGATAGGAAGCTAAACCCAGTACATGTGCACAATACATAAGGGAAACATTGACATAACATGGGCAAGACAAGACAGGACTGTACATGGACTGGGAATACAAACTAAAACAAGACAAGATATGAATGGCAAAACAAGAGGAGAAATAACTAAGTACTATATATGATTTAGTTACATTATATGATCATACATTGCATAAGCCTGCCACAACGCCAATGTACCCCATATTCTGCCTAATGTTAGCTAAACCAACCAAAGAAGACATATATAGCACTTACCTGCAAGAAAGGGCAGAAGCCTTGAGCAGCTGCCTGCAGGAACACTGAAACAAAAGGAATGATGGAAAACAAACGAGTGTGGCAACATAAAACAACCATTTAAATGAATCCAAGAGACTGGGAAATCCAGGGACGGAATATAAGAATGAACCCAGAAACCCAGCATAAAGAAAACCAGACATAGAATAGAAAACCAGAAAACCAAGAAAAACTAAACAAGAATTGTAAAAAGAGTACTGGATACCAGAAGCCATTGCCAGACATCTCCACAGAACATGGCATGATGTGACACGCCTAAGCTGAAGAATGCTTTATTTTGGGGCCTTTATTGATCAATCACAATTTAATATACTCTAAAGCAGGGATGTCCAACATGTAGATCTCCAGATGTTTTAAAACTGCAAATTCCATGATGCTTTATCATTCTAAAGACATTCTAAAGGCATGCAAAGCATCATGGGAGTTGTGGTTCTACAACATCTGGGGATCTACCTTTGGGCACCCCTGCTCTAAAGCAATTAATGACCATAACATAAAACAAGAGAATTCAGGAAAAGGAAAGTGAAACCCTGCTGCATTCTCTATCCAATCAATTTTTATCTTATAATAATTCGTCTGGTCTTTTACAGGGCAAACAAGGGGATCCTGGGATGACAGGACAGAAGGTAAGTTAAAAGAAAAGAGATTACTACTGATGAGATAGAACTGATATTTTGCTTGGAATCAAAATTGAGATTCTGAGCTGTTGTTAGCTTCCTTTCCTGTCAATTTTTGTTTCAGGGTGATCCTGGCAATGATGGTAATCCTGGCATCCCTGGAACAGCTGGTCAGCCAGGTTTACCTGGAGAACAAGGATTGCAAGGGGTTCCTGGATACAAGGGGGAGAAGGTGAGGACTTGATTGCTTCAGTTAAAAGCACTCCTTCAGCTGGAACAAAAGTGTTTCAGGTCCATAGCATTATCAGTCTGGGAAAAATTATTAAACAAACACCTTCTTACATTAAAGAAAATATATGATTTCCAACTTACTTTTAGTATAAAATGACTTCAAAAACATACTACCTAAAACTTAAAGGAAAACTCCACTGCTCAATTTGTAAAAAAAATAAAATAAAATAAATTACTGTTTAGTAGATATACCCCCCAATGAATACATGCATGAATATTTCATGCATGCATTAATTGATGGTATATCTTAAAAGCGCTTGCAATTGCTGCAGATCTTATAGCCTTTGCAAGCCCTCCCCTTTTTTCCCAGAAGAGACTTTCAGTCTCTTAAAGGACCACTATTGGCACCCAGACCACTTCAGCTTAATGAAGTGGTCTGGGTGCCAGGTCCAGCTAGGGTTAACCCTTTTTTCTATAAACATAGCCCGGCGGGAGGGGGACCCTGAGGGTGGGGGCACCCTCAGGGCACTATAGTGCCAGGAAAACTAGTATATTTTCCTGGCACTATAGTGGTCCTTTAAAAGGGAAGTAACCAATTAGAGGCTTCTCATTGAGTAGCCTCTGAATTGGTGCACATGTATGCTGGCAAAAAAAAAGTAGCAGGCACATCAAAAAAATGCTGCGCTAATACTGCAAATGCTTACTGAATAATTCAACGTTATTCATGACATATGTTTGTGTCCCAGTTGTTTATTTTTGCAGAGACTATTTATTAATTTTCTATATGCAAATCTCCCTGTGTAACACAGTGTTCTTTAAACCACACGAGATAGCAATTTAGAGATGCCTTAGAGTTTCTAATCCATTACTGTTATGTAACATAATAAATAATACAAGCATGCAATTCATGTCATGTTATCATTCTTTATGACTTGTGTCACATTTTAAGACTTGTACTGGATGACTTAAAGTTCTAATATCACTTTTTAGGCCCTCAGCCCCCCTGTCAGGTAAGTAAAAGGGTTAAAACTCACCCTTTTCCACCTTTTCATCAGAATTGATGATCTAAGCAAATAGTAAAACATTGGATTGGCTCAGCCAAGCCAATTATTATTATTACACGATACAGAGACTAAGGTAGTAATTAAAAAGCTATCCCCTTGTTACATAAAGCTGATTTTGTTTGATAATTGTGGCTGATGTGCTTACTCCCTCAACAGAGGGCATCATCTGTAACAATACCATCTTTTTACTATTATAACTATTTGGAGTGATTGACAGGTTTCTCTCTAAATCCTATTTGACCAGAGAGAAATCACTGCGTATGCGGGTTCTGAAGGAAAGTCCTATGGATCCATGTGCATTGTAATAGAATGGAATCAGTATCATGTCTTGTGCATATGTTGATCTTTTTTATATCAACAGATCTATTTTGTTACAAAAAAGACATAATTCTATACATGGTTTGGAAATGTATGCAATACCTGACACTCATTCTTGGTTTATGGTTTATGGTAATAGGGAGAGGCTTGTGACTCATGTCTAACATCGGTAAATGGAAATACTGATGTGATTGGTGTTCCTGGGAAACCAGGTGCCAAGGGTGACCAAGGACTTCCAGGAGTGGGACAGCCAGGGAAACCGGTAAGATGGGTGCCTTTTTGGATTATTTTTTTTTACGTTTCTGAAACCAGTTTCTCCTGACTATTCTGTATTACCTCTCCTTAGGGGAAACCTGGTTTGCCTGGAGTTCAGGGTCTTCAAGGATTTAAAGGAGCACAAGTGAGTTTGGGGCCATACCAGCCTTTGTATAAATTTCATTTTTTTACCTTTTTCTATCCTGATGCCAACTCTTATCAAATTTGCACACACCGTGTGAGCATACATAGATTAACATAAACATAGTACTTATGGTAGGTGTAATACGTACAGTGTATCATTTCACTACATAGAGTAAAGTATAGGAGCACCTAGATCTTGGGTTTGAGTTACTGAACATCAAAATAGTGAATTTAAAACCAAAAAGCAAAATGTAGACTAAAATATCTAAACTCTGACTGGAGCTAAGCTAGTGAGTCAGTCTGAAAACCAGTACATGCATAGATTTGTAATTTTAATATAAATCTTATTAATGTTAAGTGTATTGATCCAGAAAGAAATCCATGGGAAGAAATGTAATTTGCTTGTCAGAAATTATGTTTTTTCCATTTTTGGAGGAATAATCTTTGATAATGTGAAAATCTATGCACCATACTTAAAATGTATCAGCAACATATAAAGAGCAGGACCAAGCATTTATTTTAGGTTTTGTTACAGCTCAGTCCATGTAATTCTAGTAGGTGAGTCATGTTGTTGTGCCAGTTACAAGGTTTGCTTATATTATTATAATCACATAGTTGTGGATATCTCTTGTTTGCCCTGGCCTGCTAAAAAGGGTATTAGTGATTGGCATAGGTAGCGTTCAATTTAAGGTTTAATGCTGGGTATGAATAAATCAATGCTTTTTTTTTAGTGCTAAATTCTTATTACCTATTTAGGATAACAAATACATAATAAACATCAAACTATAGCACACCGATGTCATTATGGAAAATTATTTATTTATACAAAATATAGAAATAGTTTAGCATTATTAACGTGCCTAACATAGACTTGAAAACGCCATTAAAAGCAATTACATATTCATATGTACAATATATGTATATACACACAAACAAAGCAAAACAGTGGGTTAAACATAAACCCACCAATATTATTTTAGGTACACTGACAGAGTGGGAACTTTAGCCCAAATGTTTTGTTTACTGCCATTCTCAAGGGCTGTAAAAACAGGGTTATTTACTAAATTGTGAATTGTTGACAATTCAAAGTGAATTCTAATTGACTTTCAAACGTTAGGACAAAAGAGCTAAACTGTCACATATGTTCACTTCAGCTATTTTCCTTCTATTCAATTAGAATTTTAGGCAATGAACACTTTAGTAAATAATCCTGTTAATCTTGCTACTTGGTATCAATATGCTTTGCATTTGTGTTGAATAACTACCACCATTTATTTTCTACATTAATCTGTAGTTTTACAATCAAAGCATCTTTCGGCATTCTAACACTTCTTTCAGTCAGTGACATTAGATATGAATACAAATGTTTTTCTGAGCTATCTCATATTGTTATTTGTTTATTGCTTCTATAGGGAGATCCGGGTTCTCCAGGAGAGGGGAAGAGAGGTCCACAGGCAAGTACAATGTGGGATTTTGTTTAAATAAAATATAGGGATTTATTTTCGTTAATTTCTTTCCCACAATGATGTTGTATTTAGGAGTTACATGTTACTGACCATTAGTAGGGTTTTTTTTTTTTGGTTTTGGTTTTAATAACCCAATTTATTTTTTTATTGAAAATGATTAAATTTCACAATGATATGAGCGATAAAATCTTGTCAGTTAGTAAAAAAACATCCACAATGTTTTTACAAAATATATCAGCAACATCATTCTCACGTTATTCTCACATTCTTATCACATGGGGAAGGAATACGGAACTAGTCAAGGGGGAAAAAAACAGGAGGAGGAAGGGAAATATTGTGTTTCATGGATCCAATTGGCCTCCCTTTCCAAAGGAAGGCTTCCCCCCAGAGAACAAAAGTAACAACGAAAAAAACATTATGTGTGCAACTTGTCTCTCGGCTCTAGAAATCCAGGAAGGAAAAAGTAATTTCTCCTTAAGCGAGGAGGGATATGTGCCAATAAAGTATAGGAGTCATATAGGTGTAGGACCTGTTACAACCTCCAAAGAGTGCCAAGCAGTATATTCTAATGACTGGTAGACTAAGAGTTGTGGATAAAAAGCATAGTGCACAGTCTGTTGCTCTACATAATTAATTTTCAGCACTTTCAGAGTGTAGTGGTGTTATGGAGACAGGCTCAGGCACTGAGTGTAGTGGTGTTGTGGAAACAGGCTCAGGCACCGAGTATAGTGGTATTGTGGAGACTGGCTCAGGCACTGAGTGTAGTGGTGTTGTGGAAACAGGCTCAGGCACCGAGTGTAGTGGTGTTGTGGAGACAGGCTCAGGCACTGAGTATAGTGGTGTTGTGGAAACAGGCTCAGGCACCGAGTGTAGTGGTGTTGTGGAGACAGGCTCAGGCACTGAGTGTAGTGGTGTTGTGGAAACAGGCTCAGGCACCGAGTGTAGTGGTATTGTGGAGACTGGCTCAGGCACTGAGTGTAGTGGTGTTGTGGAAACAGGCTCAGGCACCGAGTATAGTGGTATTGTGGAGACTGGCTCAGGCACTGAGTGTAGTGGTGTTGTGGAAACAGGCTCAGGCACCGAGTGTAGTGGTGTTGTGGAGACAGGCTCAGGCACTGAGTATAGTGGTGTTGTGGAAACAGGCTCAAACACTGAGTGTAGTGGTTTTGTGGAAATAGGCTCAGGCACTGAGTGTAGTGGTGTTTTGGAGACAGGCTCAGGCACTGAGTGTAGTGGTGTTGTGGAGACAGGCTCAGGCACTGAGTATAGTGGTGTTGTGGAAACAGGCTCAAACACTGAGTGTAGTGGTTTTGTGGAAATAGGCTCAGGCACTGAGTGTAGTGGTGTTTTGGAGACAGGCTCAGGCATCGAGTGTAGTGGTATTGTGGAGACATTGTCAGGCACAGAGTGTAGTGGTATTATGGAGACAGGCTTGGAGACTATGGTGAGGCCTGATAGAAAGCAATTCTTGTTGGGGGATTCTATCATAAGAGATGTGGAGCTGGACAATAGTGGTCTTGTGAGATGTCTTCCTGGAGCTACTGCTCACAGAGACAGGAGACGTATTTGTATTATTGTTAAGCAAGCAAAGCAGAAACGGGAATTGGAGGTATTTGTCCATCTAGGGACAAATGACTTGGCTTGCAATGAGGTTTTGCTAATGATAAATGGCAGGTTGCTTCCACACTGTCATTCTCTGAAGTTCGGCCTGTGCATAACACTGCATATTAGGGACTTTAACTTGTGGCTTGGTGTATGGTGTCGGGAGCAAGGATTTGGCTTTATTTCTCATGGTAGCTCTGTTTGGAATGGAATAAAACTGTACAAAAAGATGGTTTGCATCTTTCTCAAAAGGGAACATATGTTCTCAGTGAGCAGTTCAGAGGTTTTGCTAGGATGTATTTAAATTAGATGGGGGGTGGGGGCAAAAGGATGATAAAACATCAATCCAATTGTCCCCCAAAACAAGGACAGAAGGTGCCTGTAGCAAGTGTGTTAAAAAATGATAAGTCATGTCTACAAATGTTTGCAGTTTAGGGAATAAGATCAAAGTGTGTAAAACTTTGAAAAATCCTGTACATAAGGTGAAACGTGTTAGTGGTTTCATGATAAACCTTAATTGTTTTACAGTTATAAATAAAGTTTGTTTTTAATTCTTGCTCCTGGATACCAACAGAACCAAAGACTGAAAATGAGGGATTATGTGAAAATGATAACAGTACAAAACTACCAATTACAAGATAACTCACAGATACCAAATTTGGACAAGATACATTAAACATTCATACATTCCTGTGAATTGATCATTTTTCATGCATTTGAAGTGTCACTGCTACATATTTCACTATCTTATGTATGATAGAAAGGCATTGCCTGGAGTAATATTCTATATATTCCTAATATACATCTGGCACCTGAAAGAAGCAGATATTTCAGAGAGAATTAAGTGAAAAGTATATGAGACACCTAATTTAAGAACAGACGGTTGTGTGACGCTGCACTTGGCACTCTCTAAATTCCCCTTAAAGTGCCGATATAGCACTTTTAACTAAACTCCATCTACATCTTAAACTGGGCATCAAGTCTGAGATATGGCAATGTGAGATTACAAAAGATATAAAATGCAAATTCATTAAAGGGACACTATAGTCACCAGAACAACTACAGCTTATTGATTTTTTTCTGGTGAGTAGAATCATTAGGGTTCAGGCTTTTTGCTGTAAACACTGTCTTTTCAGAGAAAATGCAGTGTTTACATTACAGCCTAGGGATAACTTCACTGGCCACTCCTCAGATGGCTGTTAGAGATCCTTCCTGGGTCATGGCTGCCTAAAATGCATTCAAGCTTTCAGTATCTCCGCCCTCTGCATCCAGACACTGAAGTTTTCTCATAGAGATTAATTGATTCAATGCATGCTAATTGGCCAGGGCTGTGTTCGAATTGTGCTGGCTCTGCCTCCTTGTCAGTCTCAGACAAAAATTGTGACAAATAGTAACCTGCATAAATCTGAAAATAGTGTTTGAGAGCAGAATTGCATTAAAACAATGTTTGCTCTGCTTATATGCTATATAAAATATTAAACCAATAGATGTGGCCTGAAAATAAAGAGGGCCCACCAAGGTAGCAAAATAAGAAAAGGGGTGCGGTGGGTGGGATGAATAAAACGGTATAAGCCCAAGTAAGGGGGTTGCCTGAGGCTAAATAGCTGCCCCCCTCCCACAACCCCTCCCACAACCCCAGGCTACAGCCTTAAAGGACCACTATAATGCCAGGAAAACAAACTTGTTTTCCTGGCACTATGTAGTACTTAGGTCCCCCACCCTCATGGTCCCCTTCCCTCTATACTGAAGGGGTTGAAACCCCTTCAGCCACTTACCTTTCTCCAGTGCCGGGGATCTCTCCTCCTCCTTCCGACGTCAGCGCCGTGTGCGCATTCAAACCACCCATAGGAAAGTCAGTGTCTTCTCACTTTGATTGGGGTTTTGGATGTGTGTTCCCTGGCAGTCAAATGGAGTTTGAAGAAGTCCTGAAAATGAGCACGGGACAGGGTGTCAGCTGCTGAGTTATGACAGGCAGGAATGTGAACACAAACCAGATAAAACTGATGGCAGATGCAAGCCAGGTTAATATCCTAATCATGCTCATTTTTATTATTGATGATGAGGCCTGTTGTTGATGATATCACAAGCTGCTATGAGTAGCATTTGACTGCTTGCCCTTGCCATAAGTTTCCCCAATTATAAGCAGCTGCTATTATGGGGTTACCTTAAAGAGAGTTGAGAAATGACAGTAGGTTCACAGTCTCGGAAGGGCCACGTGTCTCTAAACCACATGTCATCAAATATAACTAAAAGACCTGTATGGGCTGTAGCATCCATCCATATGACTGGGGACTGGTTTGTCAAGGGGGCAATGAACATGGTCTTATTGTTCCAATTTAGTAAAAACTCATGCAGTGGCTAAATCGAGTTAGACTGTACTGTTGTTATCAGGAATACCAGGCAATAGGCAGAGTAGCCTTGGAATAATGAACAACCCTGAGGGTTTATGCACATATCTAAATTTAGAGAACCCAGGAGGAACTGAAGGTCCCTGTGTGAACAGGACCCTTAAGCAAGGAACCTGTGCAAGTCTACCACGATTGGCCAAGACAGGGGAGGCCATGACTATTACCAAGCAAGAGGGTGAGGCAAGGCACTAACTATAATTTGAAACCGATGGGTGATTGACCTCCATGTTGAGCATGGGAGTTGGCATCGCAGGACTATTTTGCCGCTTCTATGTCCTAAAGCCAGTTTCTCCATCTCTAGTTGTGGATATGGGACCTAACATATGTAACAAGTAGTCAAGGAACCAACTATGTAAGGCAGAGTTAAAATGAGACAAGAAACAATGAAGTAAATCCGCATTCCTCCCCAGAAGTTACAATTGTATGTATGAGGGTCGAAATTACATTTATGATAGATTTGAGATGTGGCCAAATGTGGGCAGAATGTAAACACACAAATAAATATGCAGTGTGGCTAAATGAGGGCCATATGTACCTTATAATTGATATGGTTGAATGTGGCCTGAATGCTTGCGTGAAATGTATCAATAGTGAGGCCTGGACGAGGGCTGAATATATTGACTGGAATACGTATAACTGAATATGAACTATGCAAATATGCTTTAAGGCCAAATAAGGGCCAGCTATGCACAATACCAAGCATACTGTATGGTTGAATGAGGGCCAAATATGCACAAAATCAATCATACTATATGACCGAATGATGGCCAAATTGAACGGTAAGGTAAGGTGGTTGCCTGATGTTAAGTAGCCAAGTGACCCTTCCCACAACTCCAGGCCACAGCTTTAATAAATATTAATATAGATAGATAGATTGATTGTTTGTGGGAGGTAAAACCACCGAGCTAGGGGCTATCTCTGGGAATACATGCACTTAACAACTTAAGTGCCAAAGACATGCCTTTCAAAACATTAAGAAATTGGAAAATTAAAATATGTTACACATGTCCACAGATAAGATTACAAACTCAAGGAAGGCAATAATTTTAAATTCAGTCATAGTGATTTCAAACTAATGCGTACCCAAATGGAAAAAGACAACACACAAGATACTTGCCTCAATTTTATTAAATTTAATCAATTTGTTTAATTGTTCATGAAAGAAAACAAAAGCACAATCATGTTCAACCCAAATATTTACATGCAGGGAAACAAAAAAACAACAACAAAACACAATGGCGTATGATGTATATAACACAGAAATGTGAAATTTAAATGCAATTTCTGTAATTCCACAGATAAAGTACGATTTTAGATTGGAAGAGGCTGATTAACCCTCCCAAAATTAACCCAATAGAGGGAGAATAATTCCAATGCACAGCAAAGGCTTGCATGATATACATACACACACAAACATGTTTAAAAGACCAGAGTAGCAAACACAATCCCAAATAACAATAGTCACTTACTTATTAGAGATAAATGTATATCTGTTGGAACTGGGGCTTTATACCAGGATTTATACTATATTAAATTGTTCTTGGCTAAATATTAATGTTGATTATTTTGTATTTTTGTTACATTGTATGAGTGTAAGAGTCATAGTCCATGCTCCAAAACCATTTAATTAAGATGTAGTTATTTTGGTGCTTAAAGTAAATAAAGATCATTAAATGAGGTGAGAACTTCTTGCTCCTTGGAATCTGTTTATTGTCAAGTTAATACAGTATACTACCTATTAAAGTACATAACCAGATCCACACACATTCAGTAGCACAAGTATGGGTAGAAATAGTGACGACTGTGTTCTACACACCTAGTACATAACAGCACAATTATACATTCTAAACAACACATTCATCAGTTTAACTTTTCATCAATTTATTTTTCAGGGTGAGACCGGAGAACCAGGTCTGCCAGGGAAATCAGTGAGTAATTATGGCTCTGTCACATCAGCAGAAATCTGCTTGCCCTTAAACAACTCTCTAAGCATTGATTAATTTCTGTGCAGAGAAATGTAGTATTATATATATTATTGGGGTTAGATACCAAAAGATCTAATAGTGACTCTACCTATACTTTTATTATAGGGATCTCCAGGTTCTCAAGGACCACCTGGGATGACTGGTCTAAAAGGTGAAAAGGTAAGAGTTACAAATGTAAATGTATTACAGCAAGCGTGTCAGACTTGCTGCCCGCTGGCTGCATGCGACCCACAATGGATATATTTGCGGCCCATCTGCCCTGGGGCCACTTTGTGTTGTGGCTACTACCAGCCCCAGGACAAGAAAGATATTTCCTGTCTGATTCTTGTCTTCCCTCCCACAGCCGATTGCACGCTCCCGCAGGCTAGCCACACCCCTTTCCCTCCTGCTCTCAGAGCCAGAGGAGTGTCTGACCTGCTTGAAAAGAGGAGAGCAGTGCTGGAACTGGAGGACGGGCGGCTCATCTTAAGGGAGGGGAAGAGGGGCTTGGGGGACCTTCCTGTGTAGTGTGTTAAATTGAGGGGAGGGGGGGCACTGTATTAATTTAAGCGAGGGAGGGGGAAGGGTATTAAATTGGAAGAGGGAGCAGTGTAATAAATTGGCAGTATATTAATTTAGGGGAGGCAGGGTATTAAATTGGGGGAAGGAGTGGGGCAGTGTATTTGAGTGGTGGGAGGGGGAGGTAGTGGGTTTAATTGGGGGGAGGGCAGTGTATTAGAGTGGTGGGAGGGGGCAGTGTGTTAAATAAGGGAGAGGGCAGTGTATTAAATTGGGGGAGGGGGCACTGTAATTTACTTAGGGGGGGAAGGGTATTAAATTGGAAGGGGAGGTAGTGGGTTTAATTGGGGAGGGCAGTGTATTAGAGTGGTGGGAGGGGGCAGTGTGTTAAATAGGCAGCAGTGTATTAAATTGGGGAGGGGGGCAGTGTATTAAATTAGAGTGCCGGGAGGAGAGGGAGTGTATTAAATTAGAGTGGAGAGAGGAGAGGGGCAGTGTATTGGATTGGGGGAGGGGCAGTGTATTAGAGTGGAGGGAGGGGGCAGTGTATTGATTGGGTGGAGGGCAGTGTATTAGAGTGGAGGGAGGGCAGTGTATTGGATTGGGTGGAGGGGCAGTGTATTAGAGTGGAGGGAGGGGGGCAGTGTATTGGATTGGGTGGAGGGGCAGTGTATTAGAGTAGAGGGAGGGGGGCAGTGTATTGGATTTGGAGGCAATGTATTGGATTTGTGGGCAGTGTATTAGAATGGGGTAGGATGTAGTGTATTGAATTTAGGGGCAATGTATTGGATTTGTGGGCAGTTTATTAGAATGGGGGGAGAGGGCAGTGTATTAGATGGGGATGCTGCTTGGCTGTGCAGCTTTTTGCCACATATGCACAATAGCATCCCAATGCTTTCTGATTGGAAAACATTGTATTGGCTGAGATCATCAAGTTTGATGATCTCAGCAAAAGTGAAGAACACACTCAGAGGATTTCAAAATCAACAAGATAACGCCATGTGTTTTTTTACAGCTGGGTAAAAGCATGTATTCACCATTTCAGTCCCATTACCAAACATTTCTTAATATGTCAAGCTAGTTTGACTGAAACATTGGTTATATGCAAATACAGGTGTCCTTAAAATAAATTCACTCTTTTGTTTACTTTGAAGCCCAACGAGCATGAGGACATCCAGTGTCAGTTAGGCAACTTTTTTTATACTGTACTTTTCTAAATAACCTACGTTTCTATGAAAATTGAAGTTTATGTTTTTTTGGGGCCCACGTAAACGTAAACCTTCCTTATTTGGCCAGTGTTAGCTTTTGATTTTGACATGCTTGTATTACAGCATCCAAGAACATGCACTCTCTGATTAGTTGCAAACCTTCAATGTGCAGCTAAACACAGGGCAAATTATTAAGAACTTGAACTACTGAATTAAATGGTTACTCCAACCAACATGGCCCAGTGACTTCAGTAATTTACAGTGATTATGGTGGTAGGAATCTGTATGTGCAAAGTTTCAGCTTGAAAAACTGCCCATCCAGAGATATTTTGAATTGTGTGCCGGGGACAGAATTGACAAAAAATATGTTACTTGTGATATGTTTCTACCTAAAAATACCACCACCTGTCAATGTGGTTCTGAGTTTCAGAATGTGGACAAATCAGAACTATAATTATTGCTCCTGTGCATACCAGCCCAGTTATTGCATATATTTGTGCAATTTTCTTTGTTTTGTAGCTTACCTACTATTCACATACGATGTTACATTCTATATAATGCTGTCATATTCCACGCCAGTGTCTTTCATTTAGCATTTAGCATGTGATTTATTAGATTAGGAGGTTGGCAATTACAGTAAGATATTAACCTAGTATATTACTTTTGTAGGGAAACATCGGACAAAAAGGAGCAATTGGACCACCTGGAAACCCTGGAATTGGTGTCATGGGACCCCAGGTGAGTGACATGTAGTTCCCACAAAAACATTATCCATTTCTACAAATCCACCAATCTTATGTGGATTTATTTTTCTTAATACCTCATCTAGTCTTTTTATAACATTGCTTGAATCCTATAGTTGTCCTCTTATCCATGTTCTTTTCAAAGTCTTAAGTATGGCTGCTTCTTAAAGCCTATCTCTCTAATATTTGTGATTTCTGTCTTCCAGTATATCTGATTTACTATCTCATAACTTTCTTTCCTCATATGAACACAGGTGTTACTAAGTGCTAAACTTATATAACAGTAGTGGAGCACTAACAATAAAATCACATGCACGGGATTCTCTTACCCCTAATAAAACATAGAAATGCAGAAAACTTGGTAACACGATGCAACATGTAAAACAAAAGAATAAATCCGCATATAGTGCAAATGGTTCTAAGAAAAAATTGGCATATGCAGCATACCTCATGATAATGCCTGTTTCATGCAATAGTTACATTACACTTCATACTTTTTCATGCAATATTTACTTTACTTTATTTTGTTCAATCCATAAAATCATTATATTTTCTTTACAGATAGATTACCATATAAAGATCAAAACACCTGAACAATCCAGATAAGACATACAGAGTTCTTGTGTTTCACTATATCCCTATAACTTCCACAAGTCAATTAATGTGTGATAATTAAGTGCTGAAAATGTACCATAGATGTGTTGATGACCCCAGTCCCTCATGCTAGTAGAGTTAAATGGTTAGATAATTAATTAGGTTGAAAACTAATATCCATCAAGAATATCTCCTAGACCTAGAAGTATAGGCTACGTATGCATTGTAACATACCTTTATCAACAACCTATTCACAATAAAATTCTCTTCACAGGGACGTGATGGTTCACCAGGTAAACCAGGAATACATGGATTAGATGGCAAGACAGTAAGTCATCAAAGTTCTTCCTACAAGCTGCTAATTACCTTTATCACCCACCTATAGTCAACACCCTTTTCGACCACTTCCTTTGCTCACTGTACAGTATATTACATCCATCATTTCTACCCTCTAACACCCATAGTCAAGTGGTGGTACACTGCACATCTCATCTCACCAGATTTCTACTCTACAATATAATGTTTAACACTCTTTCCTTGCAGGGTGGTTCAGGACCCAAAGGTGACAAGGTAAGTGTCATGGTCCATTAAATTTAGAAAAAGTGATACAAAGAGAGAAAATAGGTGTTTTGAACACCCATACTTACCTTTACTTTACCTTTACTATATACTTAACCTTCTTTGAACTTTATTGCTAAGTTTATTGTTGACTAATTATCTGGAAACTAGTGTGTGAGATATGTTTCTAGCCATCAAAGTGATCCTTCTGAGAAGTGCAATGTAAATAAGTGTAGGGAACCTGGTCACTTAATGTAATCGATAAAGTACAAATTCATTACTTTATAAAGACTTGTAGTTGTACTTATAGAAAAAGTTATGTTCATTATAGGTTCTGTAAACAAAAGAAAAAATATGCTGTGCTAGGAGATTTTGCATTGTATTATATATATGCTGTTAGTAGGATCTATAATAGCAAAAACTAAGCATGAAAGTTGCAGAAACATAACTCTTTTCTTTGCGCTAGGGTGATTTACTAGTGTCAGAATGAAACATAATACCAGAAAATAGCAAAAGAAGATCTGAAAACTAGGCTGCCTTGTGTAGCTGGGTATTTTATTTAGTTTAATAATGTTCCTTGTTGCTATCTTCTTTGTGGCTATTTGCCTTGAATACCACACTATTACCTACAAGTTAAGCTATCTGAAACCTTCCTTCAGTCTTCATTCTGTAACAATGTTTTTCATGCTATTAATAACTACACTATTCATCTAACCCACCACACCAGGTGCTATATAGCCATCTTTTATGTCTCATCTCTGTATTATCTCTCACCTTCATCACACCAGATCTTGCCTCCTACAACATTGCTTTTATCTCCTCATTTTACTTTTAAGAAGCGACAAAGCCCTGCTCCTCGATAATGATTTTTATATTTTGAATCAATTGCTGCTCCACTCTTCTGACTGGCATTTTTCTCACTTAACTCTCTCTGTTGCAGTCTGTCCAAAGAATGTTGGATTAATTATCAATACTACATATAAAATGTGATAACATAGCTTTTCATGAAAGCCAGCCATTGTCTTCTTCTTACACATGTAGCCATTTTCATAGAAATTTAATTTCAATATGACCTGATTTTAATGTCAGCTTTTGTCAAAATGTTCCTATTTTGCCACATTATTATGGCTTGAATGTATTGAAATAGGAATTGGCAAAGGAGATTGGCCATGTGCAGACAGCAGACTGTGAACTGCTTATTTTTATTACTGTACTGTATTAGAAATTATTATACACTTATTTTAATTATCGACAAAATTGATGGATCCCTTCCCCCTCCTTTTTTTTTTTTTTTTAAATCTCATTTTTTTTCTTTCTTTTTATTTTTTCTCATTATTTTTTATTTTTATTATTTTTTATTTATTTTATTACATTTGTCATTTGATTATTCTTTAATGTAATGTGTTCATTTTACAATTATATTGTTATGTTGTATAAAAATTATCAATAAAAACTATTTGAAAATAAATAATTATACATATCTGATGGTTAGAGCAGTGATAACAACTCTTGCTTAGAACCAGTCAGACCATCTCCCCAGTATTCGTATTTGGGCAAGACGCCAAACAATATATGTCTACCTCAAATCATCATAGATTGTAAGGTCATTTGAGCTGGGTTATCTTCACCCTCTCCCTTTTCTATAACTGTATAGCGATGTGAAATATGTTGGCGCTATATAAATAATAATAATACATAGTCCCTTCTCTTAACCCTTAAGAGAAGAAATCTCCTTACTGATCTTTTTTTTTTATTCTAGTCACCTCTCTATGTATAACCTATGTCTCCTTATTGCTGTATCAGCCTTTTCTGGCTCTAACCTAAATTGACCACTATTAGATAAAATCAGCCATCATTAAACAGGGGAAATGATTCTGTCATCACAGCTGCTTGCCTCTGTGGTGGGGTTGTGTAACTGTAGGATCTGTCTCAATCTAGGGAGAAGCTGGAGTTTGTTCTTGCCCTCCTGGACCTTGGATAGATGGTGACCTTTTTGGAAGAATGGTAGGTTTTTCTCATCTTGGGTGGTGCATATAATGCCTTTGCTACCTATTTCATGGCTTGTGTTTGTGTTGTAGGACGGTCAAGACAGGGACAATGAGTTCTGGCCTATTGGGATGCAGGTCTTTTTTTTTATGTTTAATTTCCATTTCCTTGCTCATCCCTATTTGCCTGCTTTCCACCTCCTTTTCTTTTCTCCTCATTTTTGTACAGTTCACATTTTCACTGATACATTATTTCCATATTACAAGCAGACTAAAACAACAGAAAACAGCATGGTTGAGTTTTGTAACACTTAATGCTTAATTATGTCATTTTCAACCATAGCAGGATTAACTATAAGGTGACCCAAAGGCCCAGCTATTAGACAGGGGTTCATGATGATACTTGATGTCATGCATGGCCCAATTTATCATGACCAATAAAAAGGAGTGAAAAGTGGTTCCAAACTGGTCCACCACCTAGACCTCTCTGAATTCTTAAGCCTTATTTTCAAAAGTAAATGGTAAGATCTCTTTTAGTTAGGCGTTCGAATAAAATGCATTATACTGACAAAATCCCCAGCAAATGTAAAGCTTAAAAGGTAGAATTATATGAAGAGTAATACTACCTTGTCTAGTGGATGTGACTGGATGCTAGGCATTGTGGAAAACATATATATCTGCCTGCAGAGGACATCCTTACATATGTGGACTTTAACAACTAGTCAGAGGATATGTGATGGTAAATATTTAATGGTAAGTAACATTTTAGTTGTAGATTTGCTAATTAAAATTAGGAATTCCATATTCTTCATTACAGAGTCCCATGTGGTAATTGGCAATATTTGTATAGACGTTTTATAAATAAATAAAAACACTGCTGCTAGTCATAGCATGAAAACCACAGGAAAGTTTACAATGATAGGAATTGGACCCTGTTGTTGAAATTTTTGTACATGATCTGTATCTCACGGTAAATGATTGGTTCACACTTGGAACATGCATTTCTCAGCTGTGGTGCTGCCGTAGAGACCAACATTTATACAAAATACAGATTAAGATTAACAACACACAAACAAAAATACAGTTTTACATACAATGCTCTTACGGCAGATTAATGCAATACACTTTAGTTAATTTATCACTAGCACTATATAATTTGTCCCCTATCTTAAAATTAGAGTAGGACCCACCGATAATGGGGTACTGTGGCGTAGTGGTGGGCTTAATACGATATGAGCAGATGGTGGAATTAAATCCCCATATTTGTTTGCTCAGATACATAGAATTCCCATAGGCATTTCTGGATTTTTTATATATGATGCCTATTTATATATGTATGTGTAAAATAGATTTTTTTTAAAGTTATCTTTAAATACCAAAAAAAAACAAAAAAAACTGTTGTTACTTTGCTAACAGCAAAACTTTTTTTTAATGCCGCTCACTTAAATGTTGAAGAATCCATATCACTTTTCCCCCTAAGAAAAATGCTTCTAAAAGCAAACTGGGGGATCTTAAATTAAATGGAAAACCAAAAGAACACATTGCATGCTCTTGCTGCCTTCGTTGCATGATCTCTAGCTATTCTTAAATCATTTGACTTTATCAAATCAGCCTGTATAGACCTTGGACCTGTCTAGGACCCTCCAACAGGTATCTGCTGGGGCATGTGTATCTCAATGAAGATCGCTGAGCCATTAAATTACTCACCTGATCAGAATGATCATTATTTAGAAGACTGTTGGTGGGTCCTGAGGACAGGTGTGAATAATGTTGCATGTAATAGTGATATTTTGTGAGATGAAAACTTACTAAATATAAACCAAAACAGGAATGTTAGCTGAGCTCTTTTTCTCTGAATTCTATTGTCAACTCACCACAACTTTCTATTCATTGGAGAGATTTCCTGTCTACCTCTGTATATTCTTTCTAACTTTTATAAAAAGTAAACCCCTCATGACCCCCTTTAATCTAGTGGTACCCCTTGTTTCAGGGACCCCCCGGACCACCAGGACCTCCTGGGCCTCCTGGATTACCCGGTCATCAGGTGAGCCGTATTCTTATTTGTAGATGTCATTTATGGCCAAAATCACCCATCTTCAGAACGCTATTACATTATAACCCTGATGCTGACAGCTTGTAATAAGCTGTAACTCATCATCCAAATGATGCGCTTGTGAGCCGTCATGCACATCACTTTATTACCATGAGGCTGAAGCTGGTTTCTTATTTAGTCATTGTCTAAACCAGCTTCAGCCTTGTTGTATTACCTCTGTTCTGTAGATGGTGGCCTATAATGTGTATGTCTAGGCCTTCCCAGTGTTTATTATAGACTGGGCATTAAATTGTTTTTTCCTGAGCAAGTTTAATTTGCTGAACCTTTTTGATCCAGGGCACCAAAGACAGTTGCACTGACCACTTCTAGGGGCAATATTGTAAAAGTGCTAAACCTTGCGCTGCAGGAGAGGTCTGTATCTTTCTACAGAACATTCTATGGGTGGGCAGTAAGATAAAATTGCAGGCTAACAAAAGGAAATGGAAAATGTGGTGTAATATAAGATAGAAACATATAGAAGGATTATTAGAGTGTTACAAAGCAAATCAGTAGCTTTGTGGAAAATTCATAGAGGAAGGAGAAATCCATAAAACGCTGCACAGTATGATGTCACATATTGAAAACATCTATTTCATTTAAAATTTGTTAAGGTTAACTGCTGTTCTACATGGTAATAATGGCTGCTGGGATACAAAGGGAGAGTTGGTTTATATATTAGAAAGCTAAGAAAAAGAGAAGGAAAGAGCATGTGTTAACGAAAAGGGAAGCAGCTTACCTATTTATATCTTCAGTCTTCAGTGTGTGCCTTTGTAGCACTGCAGCCAGGGTTGGGCTAATAGGATGTGGGTGCAAGACATACACTCTGTAGATGGACAGATCCCCAAGCAGATGCTTTAGCCCCAGATGTCTTCCTTGACTGTAGGGTTTGCCTGGATTCAAAGGTATGCCAGGACCACCTGGATGGCCAGGAGAACTGGTAGGTATGGAGTGCTGGTGTGCTTTTGCTGTGTGTTAGTGCAACAGTCTCTACATGTCCTCCCAACCCAATGTTGTTCCAAGGCAGAAGAACTGTTGTGACAAGTGCACACTTTCCCTGTCGGTTTCTATGGTGTCCCCACCTTGTCAATTTGCTTTGCAGGGTCACTGTGCAGTTCTGTATGTCTGATTGTTGTCCTGAAACGTGCCCAAAAACTTCTCTAACAGCCACTCTCTCTCTCTCTCTCTCTCTCTCTCTCTATCTGTCGTAGGAACCCCTGGCTGCAGAAAGAAACATTGATATCCTGAAGGTGAGGATGTCATAGGGAGAGACATAAAGAATTATGAGACAAAAGGAAGGTTTAATTGGTCTAGTGGCCTGTCTTTGAAGCTTGTGTGTCTAGTGGAAAGCCCTTGGGACACTGGAAAAGTCAAATTATAAGGGGGTGAATTAGTGTATCTGATATTCACCTGCTTCATACAGAATATTTGTGGGAACTGTGCCAGTGGGCCGAACCCATCCCCCATCGCCATGAAAGGAGAGAAAGGAGATCAAGGCCCTCCTGGAATACCTGGACCAGAGGATTGTGAGAGGGTATGGAGATTATAAATTAGAGATGTAATGTTGTGTTCAGGGTGTACAGCATATTGTGTGCATTTGTGACTGGGTTGTGTAAATCTGAGATACATTTTCTCACTTTAGTGAATAACTCCGTACAAGTGGACTGTGTAAAGTACATTCTTCTGGGTGTAACACAATGAGTGGGCTGTGTAAGGTACATAACAATGAACTATGTAGTTTTGAAGCATTAAACACAGAACTATTTCTTTTAAAAAGAAAGAAGTTGTGATATAACAAACAATGCTGAACTGGAAGACAAGATCGTGTAGCATTGTGATAACATTATGTACAACTGATTTGTCTTAATAATTCTGTGTAACAGCAAGTGTGGGAATCAGATTAATAGCTACTTTGACATATTTATATGATATTGTAACAAAACAAAATCATCACAATGTATTTAGAATATCTAAAGAGTGTCTGGTCAGCTCCACAAAATACCGCAAACTATGTCAGTGTCAATAGATTCTGTTGATTTCGAATTGGAATGTGTGATAATCTATACTGTTCTTTGTCCACAGTGCAAATTTGAAAAGGAGGAAGCGGTGAGTGTTTCTCTAATGGTAACAAATTTTAGTTAGCAACTAATTTTGATTCACTCCTAATTTGTTTTTTAACCCACCTCCCCTCATTGTATAAACTTGAATAAAGACAGGTTGGGGAAAAGGTACAACAGGTTTGGCACTCATTACAGATGATGTAACTACCATGCGCTTCATATGCCTTGTTTATGCCTTATGTTTACCATGGTGTCCTGTACTCCATATCATTATCTCCCATTCTGTTCAAAACATATAAATTGAAATTTGAATGTTGTGAAAACTTGAAATACTTTGTGGAAAATAAAGATTGTCAAAAAAAATAAATGACAGGTTGGAATCCAGAGGAAACAATCAAAGATACTGTAATACTATATACCTGCACATTAAATTTAATCATTGTATTACTATTTTCAAATGTGTTTGGCTACATTCTATTTTTTTCCTGGTATTAGTATGTCCTAGCAGCTATTCCACTTTTTAGTTTCATCTGCTGTGTGCCGTAGTGGAGGCTTCTTACACCCAGAGAATCTATGGTAACTTCCATATAGTTAATTTTCCTCTGATTATACATGTTATTCACCTTTCTCAGGGAGATGAACCAGATCCTGGCTGTGAAGGTGGCACAGGGAACCCTGGCTTACCAGGATATCCTGGACAAAAAGGAGAAGAGGTACATGCACAGGTCACTCACAGTTCTGCATTTTACAAATGTAACTTATCGGCCCTTTATGACAACTTCTCTGTGCCTTTCTACAGGGTCCACCAGGTCCACGAGGCATTCCTGGATCTCCAGGGGCCATTGTAAGTATTCATATTTCCAAAAGAACATCTACAATAGGGCATAACCTATATAAAGATAATCAATGCCAAGAAAGTCAAAATGTAAATTCTTCAGTAGAGTATTTTTTATATCCAGCATATCTATATTTGCTTTATTCTATTGCTAGGATTGATTTTGCTAGCTAGATACTTCTTCTTTATTAGCAAATTACACTACATAACTTGTAACGTGCATTATCTTCCATCAATCTGACAGGTCATAACCACGAAGAATTAATTTTTAATATTTTTCTTCCATTAATGTTTTTATTTAAATAGCCTTCTTGGGTCATGTTGGCCCTCTTTAAGATCAGAAGATGCTCGTAGAATGTTTCCATGTATAACATTATTTAACAATTCTAACAATATTAATAAGAATGTTAATGTTAAGGGTCATGTTGACCTATTCTCCCTTTCATGGATTTAGGGTTCTCTTGTTCCTTCTCAATATGGCAGTGGCTCTTGGATTGTGATACCCCTATTTTTTCTCTCAGGGGCCCCCAGGTTTCCCAGGCTCTCCTGGCTCCCCCGGATTATCTGTAAGAATATAATCCCCTTCCCCTGTGCTCGCTTTGGCTTCCCCATGATGAACCCTTCTCCCCTTATCTCATTTGCCACTTAACTTCACCTACTGTGCAGATAAACTCTTAACTTCCCATGTCACACCCAATGTGATGTCAAACTCCACCACTCCTTGTGTATCCACATTTTCACCCACTGTGTCTTGAAAATTTCTTTAAACTTTGTATTCTTGCAGTTTCCACTTTTGTACCCACCTACATTTCACGACATATTGTTCCAAGTTTAATGTACCCACACATGAGAGTACATTGTTATTAGTATTTTTCAATATAAAAAATTATGATTCAACAAACAATTCACTATCTTCTTAGCTAAAAAGCTTTCGGCAGGGACTTTGCAAGGAAGTCATTGGGAATTATAAAACGTCCAAGTAGCTGGGGGATGTTAGTTATTTTTTTGCATTCATTTAATTGGTTATAAAGTAGTTTTGAAGTATACCTCTTCAATTTGGCCATTGAGACATCAAAGTATATATCTTGATGCAGACTTATATAAAGATGACCAGATTTCTGAGCTGAAGGACATACATACGTGACTGAAAATAAACACAGTTGAAAAACAACTGTCACCTATGTCTTAATATAATGACCCTGTCATCAAATTTTGAAAGGAAATAGATTCTCTGTTAAATGAAGTATATGAAAAAAATGAGAAAACCACATCCCTACCTTTAATATATGACAGGTTCATTCATCCATATACAGACACCTTGGGTCAGACAGTGTTTTCATTTGTCAGTTAGTCGGTCTGATAATGTCACTGCTGCTAACTTGGTTTTCGAACACTGTCTGACCCAGGGTGCATGTATTCGGCTGAAGGATTCCCTTGGTACACTGGTAAACTGCTTGTGGGGACTCTGCCAACACCAGGAAGACACTCGTATCATATAAACATTTAAAAAGAGGGTTTTTATGGGATCACCTTATTGTATCCAGGAGCATTTTTATTTATCACTTTGGGTGAGTAGAACAACTCTGCATAGTGAAAGCAGGCATACCGCTATGGTTTACACATAGCCTGGTTCATAGTTTATTGCTTTTTGCTATTTCAAGCTCTGGCCAGAGCTGCTCTCTGCAGCTCATCTCACAGGAAAATGTGGATAAAATTGATAGAGCCAGAAACAACATTTGCGACTGATTGTCAGGAGATGGAGGTGGAGCTGCTGTTAATGAACAGATAATATCTAAGAATTAAAGAAGTTCTGGCAGATCTGTTCTTGCACCATAACCACTTCGGCATGGGGTTTAGAGTAATCTTTTAATTCATGGTTTGGACAAATGAATGAGTATCTGATAACTTTCATTCTTCCCGCATAACCAAGTGTAGCTTTTATATTATTGATTAAACTGATGTTCACTGTAATACAAAAAAGCCCAACTTATTGTATAAATACTTTACAGCTAGTAAGAAGCACAATATATACATGTAAATAAATATTTTTCAGTAAATTAGAATTAGGTTTCCAAAACAGGAGAAATAGATAGGAACCCCAAGAAATTATTGACTGTCCAGCAAAAACAAGAGAGGTTGAGACAATATGAGTACCAATAATACAGATAAAAAAGACAAGGCTCCTAATCTTATTTTCTTTCAACTACTGTGTCCTATGTTATACGTCTCCCTAATCTGTGATCAGCAATCTGTCCTCACGTGTCCCTTGTCCTAGTCAAAATTACATGTCCTCAATGTGTCCCACGTCACATCACCTAGCAATGTTGCTTTTGTCTTTGGTGACCGGGCTCCCTTCATCCCTGCTCAAATTGGTGTGTGTTCTATTTTCCATCTCAGGGGTTTGTATCAAGCAGAGTGTTGTTAAGGAAACAAACGCATTACCTCCCACAGAGACTGTACTGGGTCTCATCAGTGCTTAGCACATCCCTCCTGGGATTTTACAGTTCACTAGTTTAGTAAATCTTGAAAAATGTAACAAAACAAATACCAAACATCTTATATTTGCTGTTTTTTCCTATGAGATATCACCTTCAAACTTTGCAAAGAAATTGGCCTCTATCACATCTGATGTAAAACTGGTTAAGCCCCCAGCATGCGCGTAAACTGATGATCTGATAAAAAATATTAGAGCCTGCGCAAAGGGTGATTCAGCTGAATATTTTAGTTTTAAGACTATTTGAAACTAAGGGTAGAAGTGTTACATTTCATTATTGTGTTGGCTTCTTTTCAAGTGACTTGGCCTTAGTGCAGCCTGATACATATCCCTCTTTCACTGTTACTATTATTTCAGCTTTTCACAAAATCACGTGTGCCTAACTCATGCCTCACCCTATGGTGTGTTATGCGATTTTTGGGTTGTACAGTTTAGCTTTTTAACTTTCTGTGGGACACATCTAACGCATCACTTCCTGCCTTTGCATTTTTTGTGTTTTGTATACTTCTTGCAGTAAAACAAGCAAGTCCTGCAATTGTGATTAAAATTAAGACATTTCTTTATAAAGCAATGGAATCTTAGTCCTTAAGGGTCAGAGTACTGGCATCATTTTATGACTCTAATCAACACATTGTTCTGTGTCAGTTGCTTATTGACTGTTTATAACATGATGAATATACTGAAAACCAGTGTCTCTGACCCTGCCGTAATGTTACCGGAAAGGTAGGTTAATGTGATATCTACTTAGCTAAGGAGATATATATATATATTGTACATTGCATGGGTGCATTCAAAATATTGGTGTCCTGTTGGATGTATTTTCTATAATTGCCTCCAGTTAAAAGGAAAATTTGGTCACCTATCCAAAAGGTGCAAAGTAGTTTGTTAATATATAAAGTATTTATCAAAGAAAAACTCAAATTCACAAACTACTTGAAGGCTTGTATGTCACTTATTATAACAATATCCTCAATATTACTCTTACTAAATAAATCCTTTGCAGAAATGTTTTGGGCGCCATACCTCTTTCTGCCTTTACATGTTTGGCTGCCATCTAATGTATCCTGTATGTCAGGAGTAGACAACCTCTCAGATATTGTGAACTACATCCTCCATTGATTCTTTGCCAGCATTATGGCTTTGAGAGCATTATGGGGATGAAGTCCACAACATCTGGAGTGCCGAAGGTTGCCTAGCCCTGCTGCAGATTATAAAAGCACTAGCACAATTGCAGGCTGTGAAAGGAACTGCAAGAAAAACGAATATACTTGCTTTATTCACCCCACAATAACCTACTATGTAGTTTATTCTCTAAACTAGAAATTGTGGGGATTATACCAGAAAATTTTATGTTTTAGTTCAAAACAGCTAAAATTAAAGAAAAAAAAGTTTAAGAAAATTCTATTTGATCTAAAATGTAAATTCTATTAGCAATTCTCCATAATTTCCAGTTTAATAAAATAAAACAGTATGTTTTACATTTTTGGGTGGTACTTCCCCTTTAAATCTTGAAATTGATGTGCTTTCACTTTTAATAAAAATTATAAGGACACAAATTGTATTTTGTCTAAGGAGGCCTTCAGTTTTTTATTAATTTCAACTAGTGGGGTGAGTATTTCTGTCTGCTCCATGAAGAGAATTAGGTGCTATAAGGGTAAGTGGGAATAGATGTCACACTGCATGTAAGTAGAACTCTGGCCCTAATGCTCTTTTTATTATGTTCCAAGGGCATGCATGGTGAACGAGGACTACCTGGACCTCCTGGAGATAAGGGAGAATTGGTAAGCTACAAGATGGTTCGGCATTAGAATTATAGTTTGGTGACGACTAGTATGATCCTACATTAAAAGAATCTTTACCATCTGTTTTATCTGTTCTAATCTCAAAATTGTGTGCAGTCAACTGCTAAAACAGGACATGGCTGGCTGTTGCTAGATTAGCCTGGTTTTCTATAAACTAGAGTGATTTTTATAATGGGATGAAAGATGTGTGTATTTGTAGACTATATATATATCATTACATACTTGCCGTCAGTGCAAAATTTGGTGGGACAGTCCTCATATCAGGACCTTCCTCAACCATTCCAACATGATTAAATACACTCAGCACTGTACTTGGCAAGCCCAAGGCATATTAGCCCTGTGCATGTGGATCACATGGCCATTCTGCGTCCTAGCACATAGCCAGTAGTTGCAAATATAGAATTACCACATGTAAGATAAGTATTTCTAATTATCATTGAAAAAATAAAAACTATGCATTTTTCACATACACCAAATGATTCTTCTTAAGGTTGCATATTGTGTTCAGATAGATTGATGTAAATAAGTATAAAAACTATGTTTCTGCTTCTGTTTATAAAATGAAAGCATCCAAATTTCAAACAGTTGTAAAACCTGGAATAAAGGGACAATGCAAACCTATCTCTCAACATAAGTAGACTGTGATTTGCGACAGGGTAGGGTCTGTGATAAAATTAATGAAGAGGGCAGGGTTTGTCATAAAGGGGGGTGTGCCAGCCTTGCTGAATGTCCTAAGAACACGCAATTCAGTATCAATCTATTAACCCCAGGTTGGTGGGGGTTGTCTAATCCTTGTGACAGACAGAAGGTGGGTACATTTGAAACCAAGATGGCTGCGCTCACCTGAACATGCATGGATCATAAGAGAGCTACCGAGGCCAATTCATACAACATTTAAGACCCATTGCATTCACTCATTCACAAAACAGCAGGCTCACAGAATAGAATACTTTTTATTTTGAAAACACCTGACCTTGCCGGATTAAGCAACTGCCTTCCAATGGCAGTTGCCACACAAACGTGCATTCTGAAATGTAACATAACACCAGTACAGAGCTGCAGGAAGCTGTGTATTCAGTGCACAGAGTGAGTCCAGCAGAAAAAAAAATATAAACAGTTTGTGCTGTCAATATAAATTTTTGCCCCAGGTGCCAGGTAAGCTAGGTATGTCTCTGATCAGCTGAATGTGTGCGTCTCATGATGCATTTGCTCTGCACCTACTGGGGCAGATCTCTGGTGTAATTACTTGAATTGTTACGCACGTATGAATGTGTAGCTTTCTTCATGGACCTTATTGAATGGGAATATATAAATAGGTTGAGAAGTGAGTTTTATTAACTGGAACATGTTATTTTTCATACTTAGGGACCTCCTGGTCTTCCTGGTTACCCTGGTGCAATGGGTCCCCCAGGACTTCCAGTAAGTAGTTCATAATGGTTGGTACTTTCTGATGATTGACTTTTGATTGACTATTTTAAACCATGTTTTTATTACAGGGCCTTAAAGGAGAAAGAGGATACACTGGACCATCAGGAGAGAAAGGAGAATTGGTGAGCAGACTTTGGTATAATAAAATGTGCCAAGGGCTAACACTAATTATTGGCGCAGTTTTCTTTGCATAACAGTGTGTGTATAACAGCTGTTTGAGGAACTGCCCACCATAAATGTTATTGTACCATGATGTCCATGCCACAATATTTTAGCTGATTGAAGGTACATGCTGAAGACTTTCATTATGATGCTGGACTACAGCCCATGTTCATTGGACCAAAATAACAAAGTTTTATATAGCAATTTTGTGGAACTTTTTTACTTTTCACAATTATTTTGCACTTTTACAGTCAGGTAGCATTGCTGGTCATTAGAATGTATCGATCAATTCCAACCTTCGTTAGATGCTCTCTACTTTAATTGCCCTCTTTTTACCCATTCAGGGCCCACCTGGTATTCCTGGTATCCCTGGCCCTGCTGGCCCTTCGGTAAGTAAACACAAACACTCACTAAGTAGTCACTTTGTTTCCTCAATACTGTCTGACTCTCCCATTTGCATCTACAGGGTCCAAGAGGGGAACGTGGACTCACAGGTAGTTCTGGAGAGAAAGGTGATCAGGTGAGCATCTGAAACAAATGTATTAACCACTGAAAACAAGGTTATGGAGGGTTTCATTATAAATTCATTATATCTCACAATTTGTACACCGAATATCATAAACAGTACACATTGTGTCAGGTCCCCACTCATCCCCCAGCTTTTTTCAAACTTCCAGCATGCATCTGCAAGGGTGATTTAGCCCAACCTGTTTGGCACCATAAATTGACTGTGAGCCTGCTGCTCTGCTGCAGTAATGGCACCACCAGCTTCTCCAGTGGTATGTGGGCAGAGTCACAGCGGGACCCAGCCTCCTTAGGTGTGCATGTGCCGGGACAGCTCTCTCTTAAAAGGGCAATTAGCAGTACAAAAAGGGAGATGTTTCAGGAGCCCAGGGATGACTTATACAGATTTTGCCCCTTGTCCCTTATGTAACAGCCTGTCTCCTAGCCCTCTTTACTCAGGTTTACTGTGCTCATTGTGGTGTGTTCATTACAATATTAATAACATACACTGTTGTCTAACTCTGCCTGTTTTATCGCTTTTCAACCTGTGCTGCCTGACTTAAATATTGGCTGTCTTAATGATGTATCTGCTTATTCTCTATCTGTACCATGTTTTATTTCTCCAGCTACCTGCTGCATTTTTAGGCTCCTTCCACTAAAAATTACACATTGTGGCAGTGGCCTTTATTGACAGATGATACAAATGATGATACTATTCATATAAATTAAGGAGCAAGACACAAAGTAGTGCACACGCTAGCAAAAATTAATAAGTATAGGTACCATGTATTTTTATAGAACAAACACATATATTGCTTTTAGAAAATATTATTAAAGCTGCTGTTTGTCTATGTGATTTATAAATTCAGAATATCCGGACCAGGGAGCAAACAGTAATCAATAGTCTCTGTACCTGCAAACTATTATTGTTATTATCATTATTATAGGGACATTCTAAGCACCAAAATTACTACCTCTTAATGTAGTTGTTTTAATGCAAAAATCCTATCCCTTCTGTCTGAAAATTTAAGAATTGCCATTTGTGAAAAAAGGGCAATGTCTTTATTTGTCACTAAGGGTGCCTTAAAGGCTACCAATCAGACAACCACAAGAGGTCCTCATGAAGATATTAAATTATTGAAAGTCTTCACATTCTGCAACACTGAATGCTTTGACTGTTTTCCATAAAGAACCACTGATTTCAGAAATAAACATCTGATTGGCTGAAATCGGGTGCAAATGCCAGTAGGTCCCCAAATCTTCTCTAAGAGAATTACTGTACTGGATCTTCTGTTGGGATGATCTCAGATGAGGAGGAGTGTCTTTATGATGAACTGGCCACTGCCAATGCCTCCCCTAAGTCATAGTGAGCTTTTGAGGGTGCGCACCCATAGAGCTTATTGTACCTTGGGTTCCCGGCTCCTTCATCCTCCTGCTATTATCATCCACTTGCAACAACATCCTCCTCAGCTCCCCCCTCACTGTGCTTGCCGACTAAAAAGCCTCTAATTGTTTTTTTCCCCGGCATAGACAGAAAGTCTGGGCTGCAAGTTTTTTTTTAAGTATACATAAATAAATACATGCATGTTTTCATTAGGGTATATTACCAAATTATGATTTTAAAAAATCCCCTGCCTTGTTTTTTTATCCAGTTAATCATTGTTTTAATTTCCTTCATATGTTTTAACAATACGAAGGTATCCACCATCCTTATTCCAACTGTCCAGTGTATAATTTTGATTAGAACAAATCTTGGTTATGATACAAACAATCTACCTGAGACTGCTAAAAATATCTGCGAGTATTTCAAAATAGTGTAATGATGCTTGGGATTCAGAATATTTCTTAAACTTTGCTAAAATTTTATATAAAACGTTTCCCTTAAAGTAAAATTAAAACGTATACATTTTTGGTATGCTAGGTATGATGATGCAATCGCTTTTTTTTTTTTTTTTTTTCTTGCAGGGATTTCAAGGCTCTCCTGGTTTTCCTGGACCACCTGTAAGTATTCGAATCACTGAATATATGGGAGGACTGTATTCAGGGATGTATTTAGCCCAAGACAAACTAGGCATTTGCCTTGGGTAGCACTATTTAGGGGGCTGCAAAAAATGCCGCCCCCAAACGCCCACAGAAACGTCCTGTGTAATTACCCTGTCATGGAGGGGGTGGGGGGCAAGAGCTAACAGAAGCCCCACTGGACCCCAGGAACGGATCCACACCAGCTCTCCAGATAGGGAGGCTGGGTGGAAATTTTTTAATTACATTAATAAGTTGTGAGTGTATGTCTGTGAGTATATGAGTATGTCTGTGAGTGTATGTGGGTGTGTGTGTGTGTATGTCTGTGAGTGCATGCGTGTGTCTGTTAATGCATGTGTGTGTGTGTCAAGTCAGTGAGAGTCTCTGAATGTGTGACTATCAGTGTGTCTGACAATGAGTGTCAGTGTGTGTCTGTCAGTGTGCGTGTGTGTCTGTCAATAAATGTGTGTCATTGAATGTGTGTGGGTCAAATCAGTGAGTCTGTGTTTGTCATTGAATGTATGTGTGTGACTGTAAGTGTGTATCTGCAAATGTGTGTTTGTCAATAAATGTGTGTTAAATCAGTGTGTCTGACTGTCAGTGAAGTCTGTGGGTCTGTCATTGTGTGTGTGACTGTCAGTGTGTGTCTGTCAGTGAATGTGTGTGTCAGAGTGTGTGCTTAAAAGGATACTATAGGAGCCCAGACCACTTCAGCTCATTGAAGTGGTCTGGGTGCAGTGTCCCAATCTCTTTAACCCTGCAAGTGTAATTATTGCAGTTTCTCAGAAACTGCAATAATTACCTTGAGGGGTTAACTCCACCTCTAGTGATTGTCTACCAGACAGCCACTAGAGGGACTTCAGGGTGGTTAGGCGACCAAAAGCCACCTAACTGATGCTGGACGTCCTCATGCTGTGCATGAGGACATCAGGCGTCTGCTAAATCCCCATAGGAAAGAATTGATACAATGCTTTTCTATGGGGAAGCCTAATGCAAGCGTAGAGGAGGAGCTTGACCCAGCACCGAGGGACATCGACGCTGGATTCAGGTAAGTGACCAAAGGGGTTTTAACCCCTCCAGTTTCGAGGGGGGCACTAAAGGGAACTATAGTGCTGGGAAAACAGCTTTGTTTACCTGGCACTATAGTTTCCCTTTAAAAGTAGTAGGAAAAGAGTTTAAAGAGGAAGAGGTGCGGCCTTGAAAGGAAGAGGTGGGGCAAATTTAGATTAGGGAGGTACCCAGATTTAGTCATGCCTAGGGCAGTGCAAAACTAAAATACACCACAGACTGTATTACAATAAATATGTCAGCTTTATCATTTAAGATTTTGATTAGACATGTGTTGACTTATTATGGCTTGTTTATAGACTGCTGTTAAGGCTGTAACTACCACTGCAAAATTTTGGAGAGAAAAGCATTACTGAAGTACTTGTGTTTCAGGGGCCACCTGGATTCCCAGGAAAGCAAGGATCTGCAGGACCCCCTGGTCCAGCCGCTGAGAAGGTAAAAGTCCCACACGCCCAGACGTTTATCAAGATGTAGCTTAGTTGTTAAAATAGGGATATTTAAATTGAGAGGACTTGATACGGAGAAGAAACTAAAAAAACGGTCATATAGACAAACAGTAGACCTACACAGAGAAGTTATTGGAGAAAGGTTATATGGAGGCACAGGAGAAGATACAAAGTAAAATGTATTTAATGAGTTGTGGTAGAGGTTTATATAGGAATATACAGTGCTAGATTAGTGGTTTAATGGGCTTGGATCTGAACATTACTGTGGGTCTAACTGCAAAATTTGATTTTATGAGTATAGGAAAACTCTAAGGTGACCAAAAAAAAATATTTATTTCTAGCATTAGAATGTTCCTTGCTCTCTTTGCATGACTGAGTCCTATTTTGTTTTTAAAATGTGAAAAATAAAAACATTTAAACATACGTGTAATTCTGCACTGTGACAGTCTCTTCTTTGCAGCTGTCTCTTTCTATGAAGTTAGCAGCATTATTAATGTCTGTCTAATCCAATGCTTCTCATAGAGAAGGATTTGGGACACAGGTTGCAGCTTGCTGCACTTCATCAATCCCATGCTTTCATTCAGAAGCATTGAATCCTATCCATTGAAGGGCTAAATTAGGAAGCACCTCTGGTAGTTGTCAGTCTGACAGCCTCCAGAAGCATTCTTAAAAATGTAAACATTGACCTTAAAAGGGACAGCATATATGCACCAAAACCATTACTACAATAATACAATGATTCAGGACCAATTAGTCACCTGGGCACATGGAATCCCTCCTGTCATTTATGGAGCACAGAGGGACTATGTACAATGGGCATGACGCAGAGATAGTCCCTTCCTATGTTAGACACATATTATTATATATATTGTCAAAGGAAGCTTGTGTTTGTGCAGATTTGATCGATGGTTTGTGACTGACCGCCTGGTACCAATTCCCTTACTTAGCGATCACCGGGACACCAGCAGCGCTCCTGCCATTATCCGCCACAGCTTGGCTGGGGTCTCGCTGTCACTGCCCACCCTGGAACAGGGTCCTGAATACAGCTTCAAATAATTAAGCTCTCCTGCAGAGTGTACAGCTGGTCCATCCACACACTAGTCAAAACTGAGTGAAGGGTGAAAAGGAACTGGTTTATTTAGGCCAAGTTGCCTGCTTTATATACACAACCCCCACCATGAGGTCTCCAAACAATACAATACAAGCCCCTCCCAGAGATCTCTGTGCCTGGGAGATATTTTGAGTTAAAGACCGGTAAGCTAAATTTCTCCCAGGAACAAACACACAGACATAAAAACCACAAAACATTATAAAAACATATAATAACCCCACATATCCTGCATTCCCAAACAGCCCTGATCTGAGCACCCAAGTTGTCCAAATAGTGCTCAGATCCATTCAATATAGGAGAAACGTCACCGTCAAAGTTCTGACCGGCCGCACACGTGGTCCTATACCCAAAATAGTTCCAGAGCAATGTGTGCTTTGGCTGGTCAAATTTCAGGAGCTCCTGCAGGCCGCAATATGCGGTTCTCCGCCTGGCTCTCAGGGAGCGTTTGTTCCACTTATTCTCAGGCACCTTCCCTCCAAAATGCAGTCTGCTGGTGAGTCGCCAAGTAGTTCAAAACCCCGGATCAAGTTGTCCGGGAACTGCAAGGTCAGCTCATGCTGAAAACAGGTCCATGGCGGTCGCGGCTAAGTACCAGTGAAGGTTTGATCGTCCAAACGGCCGCCAGAAAGCTAGCTTTCAGTTAAATTCCAGAGATGGGAAAGTGCCAAACCAGGGGCAGCGAGGGAAAGTTGCTAATGGCGGCTGGTAAGGGTAACTCCCGAACAGGGTCTCCGATCTGGACCATAGTCGGTGGGCGGGAGGCCAGTTTCCACACTCCTCCAGGAGTTCATGGCAAACGTCCGTGGACAAGAGCGTTTGTCACATGGTGTTTTCCATCTTACTTAACCAGGCCATGGAGCATATTTTGCTACAAATATGGAGATGAGCACTTCAAAGCAGAAGCACATCACAATAAAGAAAAAATCTAAATGTTGGGTTGCTTGGACCCAATCTGGCCCTTGGAATATGGAGATTTGGTAGATATCAGGTTTATGGTGTGATGTCCCCATTTATTTTAGTTCTTCAGAGTTAATTTTTCCTCTTCCGTTTGCACAGGGCTCAGAGGGACAACGTGGCTCTCCAGGACTGACAGGCCCATCTGGTCAACCAGGCCCTCCAGGAATACAGGTCTGTATGGTCCTTATTGGTGGACAGTTATGTTTCCTCAGTGCAGGATAAATTACAAGCTCACCTTTGTATGACTTTTTTAGGGTCCACCCGGTATTGAAGGATTAGATGGGAAGGTTGGAAAGCCTGGTCTGAGGGTAAGTGAAAAGTCAGCAAAATGTATGTGATAGAAATGGAAAGATCCTGTATATGCTAATTATATGCTGCATATTGTATTTGATTGTTTCATGTGTGTAGGTGCTCATATAGTTATGTCAAATAGTTACTAAAACCACTAGCATGTATACACTCTAATATGTTTTCTCCCCGTAGGGAGAACCAGGACCGCCAGGAATCCCTGGACTAAAGGGCATTCCGGTGAGTGAAAGCAGCATACCAGCTGATGATAGTCACTTTTTGTTCTCTAAATAATTTGTCTCTGCATGATGGTATCATGAAATGCTTTCTGTGCAGGTAAGCCTGATGAGATTTCACATTGTTTTTGTGGTATCTGGGCTATGTGGTCACAGTGGACCTGGGATAGGAGTAACATAGTGCCGGCTCTCTAGTATTAATGCACCAGTTGGAGCTCTTGAAGTGTAAGTGCGTCTGATGGCTTAATATGTTTATCTGTGGAGTATCGCATATTGGGTGGCATTCCCTGTCTAGGTTTCATCATACAATTGCATTTTATGTGCTGTGGCTGACATTAGAAAACCAGCTTACTCTATACAATCTTATTTTTCATTCTTTGATTTGATTTTTTCAGGGATTTAAAGGAAAAACAGGACATCCTGGTCTACCAGGAGCAAAGGTATTATATATATTTTACATGGTTTAGAAGTGGGTACATACTCACTGAGGTCCTCTTTACAGCTGGTAAATAATGTAAACCTATGACATTTTGTAAGCATAACACTTAAATGAACACTCCACACACCATAACCTCTACAGCCCACTATAGTTGTTATGGTGCTCTCTCATAAGTAGTCAAATCGTTTAACGTCACACCCCAAGCACCATAACACCTACAGCTTGCTGATAGACTGTATTCTAAAAACGTTTGACTATTTATAATGTGGGAGAGGAGTGCAAGGGTACTCCTGGCACCATCATTACTACACCAAGTCTTTAATTAAAGCCAGTGGCAGACGTAACGTAGAGATGGCCTTGGTGCAAGAAGTTTTTGGGCCCCCTTCTAGTGCAAAAGTGGCCAAAAGGTATATCCCCCATCTGCCCTACAATTTCAACAATGTTATGCCAACTAGGGATCTACCATTTGCCCATCTTTGCAGAAATGTATTTGTGTTTGGGTGTTTGAATGTAAGCATGTATAGAGTATATGTGTGCATGTAGGGATGTATTTGTATGTATTGTTGCCATTGGAATGCAGTGGTGTGCTTCTGTGTAGTGTTTGTGTTTAAATGCAGCATTGTAGTTGTATGTAGTGTTGTTTTTTTAAATACAGGTGTCCTTTTGTGTGTAGTGTTGGTGTTTGATTGCAGGGGTGTGTTTGTGTATAATGTTTGTGTTTGATTGCAGGGGTATGTTTGGATGTAATGTTGGCTTTTAAATGCAGATGTATATTTGTGTGTAGTATTGGTGTTTGAGTGAAGGGGTGTGTTTATGTGTAATTTTGGAGTTTGAATGCAGGGGTGTTCTTGTATGTAATATCTGTGTTAGATTGCAAGAGTATGTTTGCATGTTGTGTTGGTGTTTGAATGCTTGGATGTTTGCACATGCATACATACATACATAAACACTTACACAGATATACATAGACATTAACACAAAGAAATACATGTAAACACACTGACACATACGTACAATTCATATACACACATGCACACATCCTGACACACAGATACACACTTACTTATACACACCTTGACACACAGATGCACATTCATACATACACACACACCTTGACACAGATACAAGCACAAATAATCTGACATACACATAAACACGTACACATATACATGTCACCATTTTTATATTTGCAGTCACATTCCTGTTAGCATAACTTTTGTGTCAAGGAGGTGGATTGTTAGGGGTCCTGCTGCAGTCTGAGCTTAATGGGATTGTGGGGTTTGGAGCAGCTCTCAGCCAATGCCGCCTTCTCCCTCCGTCCTTCACGTAAGAAGCTGGAAGAAAGTGACCAGCTGTCATTTCCTTCCACACAGGCGATTCTACAGGGGCATGGGCTCTGAACCCCTGGTCAGCAATAGGCCACACAATGGGCCCACAAAGTGTGCGAGCCCAGGTTCAGCTGTACTGGCGGTACTTCCGCAACTATTGACGCCAATGCAACAGTACCCAATGTGTGACTGCTGCCTCTGATAGCTTTGTTGCTGTAAATTGCTAAATATTGAGCAGTGAGACTGCATGGGCCTAATCTATACATCAAAACTGCTTCATTAAGTTGTTTTGTCGCTTAGAGTGTTCCTTTAAAGTCTTCTCTTTGAGTCTTGGTTTAATTGGCAAGTTAATGTAGGGTTATAAATTGGTAAAAGTAAGGTTTGATTGCAGTAACATGTGGGAAACTAAAGGGGTCCCAAAAATCTCTTTACACTTCAACCACTACACTGTACTTATTTGCACTTAAGGTGCTAAAGATTGTATAACTCATACATTAATTTCTAGTATTGTTCTAACTTCTAATATTTAGAGTAGGTTGTAAAAAAAAACTGTGTGTAAAAAGTGGTGTATTAAAGAGTAAGTCAAAGAAGGTCCATATATGAGCATTATTGATTTTTGTTTTGCCTGTCCAGTTATTTTCTGTTTCTAAGAATATATATCTTTGTCATACAGGGAGACTGTGGACCTCAAGGACCCCAAGGAAGTGCTGGACGGCCAGGAGCAGAGGTGAGATAAGCTTCAGCTATAGTACTATAGTAAAAAAATAAACTGGATTTTTAATCCTGCTTTCTGCTAATTTCCAACAACTTCCTTTCAGGGTGATCCAGGGCCTATGGGACCACAAGGTCGACCTGGACCTCCAGGACATTTGGTATGTGAAACAAGGACAGTGTGATGCATAATAACCCTTACAAGCTTTACTCTTCTCTTACATGGTGTATCTTTTTTAGGGGCCTGCGGGAAGCCCAGGACAGCCAGGTAGCCCTGGGCCACCAGGATTGGTAAGTGTTGATCGATCTTTGAATTGAGTGAATGGGAGTCTTTCCACCCTTGTAGTTAGCACATATATCTATTTCCATTTTCCTAGGGAGTGAAAGGTGAACGAGGTCCCCATGGTGACCGTGGCCCTATGGGACTTCCAGGTGAACCAGGATCTCCAGGACATCAAGGACCTGCTGTGAGTACCCAATGCCACAAAGATGTTGAAATGGGTGAGAGGCTTAAACTGAGAAATTGTAAGAATGAAGATATGTGACTGAATCTAGGAGGGACTTGCAGATTCATGATTAAAAAAATGGAATCATTTTTTATGAATAATTCTTGGATAATTCCTAACTAGATAAATTATCTATAGAGCTAAGTTATAATATGTGATGTGTTTTAGAGATCTCCATAACTACACTTTTTGTCTATCTTCAGGGTGAAATTGGATCAGATGGAGCTCCGGGTAAAGATGTGGGTAGTACTATATACGTTTTATTGTAAATCCCAGCTTTCTTCTTGTTATCTTGTTAGCCCTCTTTATAATGTCCTTCTATGTTGAGAGCTCATCTTTTCTCCTGTTTGCCTGACACTCACCATTTTCATGCATCTCTTATGTTTGCATGTTTAATGCTTATTTTCACCTTTTTACAATATGTGCATTGATTCCAACTAGTTTTACCAGCAACCACAAGGAACAAAAGAACTACTTTAAGATATCATTCTTTTTATTTCCTACATCCTTTCCTACCACTTTTGCCCTTACCTGAAATCAAATTACTACAAACTACTTTTTTGTTATTCTCTATTTTCAATAGGGTTCCCCTGGACAGCCTGGAATGCCTGGTACTCCAGGTATGAAGGTGAGTATCCATACTACTGTGGTTTGAGCTCTAGCTTTATAAAATAAAAAATACATTCTAAATTATCTCTCTATGTATAACAGGGTGAACCTGGAGCAACTGGTTCTTCAGGGCCACCAGGAGAGAGAGGAAGACCAGGACCACCAGGAGATTCCTCATTTTCCTCAAAAAACTCTCACATGGAAATAGTTGGGCCAAGAGGACCTAGTGGGGAAAGGGGGGCTTCAGGTCCACCTGGACCTCCAGGACCACCAGGAACTCCGGGAACCCCAGGAACAATGGTAATAAAGCAGCAAAATATCAAGCTACATTGTCTTTGGGTTTTGTTTTGTTTTCTCTAGCTAATCAGACATACAGTAGTTTAGATGGTGTTAATGAATAGAGTAAATGTGTTGTTATCCAAAGATCAGATATATTAGCATTGCAGTGTACCAAGTTTCATTACTGTTTTCTCTCTGATAATCTGGAGCAATAGAAGATCACCCTTACTACTCATTACTTATACAGAATGTCATTTATACTATGAGTAAATTACATTAATAAGTCCATCTAGACAAAAGAAGAATTAGGACTGGTTTAGAAGTGGTTTCTGCAAAAACTGCAGTTCTCATTATTTATAACGCCTCTTCCATTACCAGACTGAACACATCAGTTATGATGAAATTAAAAGGATGATACGGCAAGAGATGATCAAGATCTTTGATGGTATGTTTTCCTGGTATAACCTAACTACTGATTTATTTCACAATTTGGTTACTATGACCTGAACACATTTATTTTGTTTATGTGTGTGTGTAGCCATCTATAAACATAACTAGTATGTTGACATGTTTCTACTGAAAATTGATCCCAAGTGGTCAAATGAGTGAGTTGTACACCCTGTTGGTGCAGCATTGGCTAATTTTGCCTGGTGGTCTAGCAGGGTTCTGAGTCCAGCAGGGAAGCATGAGGTTTGCAGTGTATATTCCAAAAAACTACTGCTTGCACAGAGATAGATTTACCACCTGAAATGTATATTTACCTCCAGTTTATTGCTCTGTACCTGTACAATTTGACCTGCCAGATACCCCAAATGTATTGTTATGCACCTCTCCTTCTGCCTTCCCTTTTTAACACCGGCAGATACAGATTTCTGTAATCACTCCCTCGCCATTCAGAGTGCAAGCTGGGAACATTCGGCAGCTGTGCTCTGACTCGCTACAGAGCGCCAGACCGCAAGAGAGCCGTTACTGAGATCTGTACCTGCCAGAGGTGCAAACCTCATGTTGTCAGCCTTGATCTCCCCTATCAAGGCAGCAGGGCTATATAAATAAAAAGATAATTTCTCAGTTATACACCTTCAAGTGGCACCCACAACTTGTGCCATATTTTCCATACCCTAGTTACCCTATTGCTAGTATGCCCACTCATGGTATACTTATTATTATATGTCCATAGAACAAGAACTCATCAGCTCTTTAATGTTGCTATGATCCATAAATACTTCATTCTATATTAGCCTCCACCCTCAATGCACACGTTCGTACATACCGAAAAGAGTGAAATGTACCAAGAATATGGTTTTGCATTCCGAAAAAGAAAGGACTTTTGATTATTTATAAAAAAGAAAATGCCATCATTGCCTTTACTTAAATAACTTTACAATTAGAAACAAAGACCATTCAATCCATCATGCTGACTGTAACTGGCATCCTAGATTGGCATTACAGATTTAGTCTTAAATGCACCCAGGACCGGACAATAAGCCAGTCCTAGGTCAGGGTGGGCAGGAGGCAAAACCAACGTTAAGGGAATAGCAGGATAATGTAGCATAAAAGCCAGGTGGAACATTTTCAAAAATATAATCTTAGTGATCTAAAGGTCTTTATAAATGGAAAAACACAGACAGCAGAGAAGTTGGAAATGAAGCTATATGATGCAGAGAGAGCATACTGTTACATTATGCATTCGTTGTTAACATATTTTTCTGAATTTTTAAAGTTGGTCAAGAAATCACAATGGTTCATCTTTTGCAGTATATTTGTGTAGGAGAGTAAAAACACTTGAAAAAAAAATATTTATTGTGCATTTGTAGAGAGGATGGCTTACTACACTCGTATGCAGACACCAGTCGAGATGGTGTCTGCACCTGGAAGACCAGGCGCTCCTGGCAAAGATGGAACTCCAGGACGACCAGGATCACCTGGAGCACCAGGACATCCAGGACAGATTGGCCGTGAGGGTCGCCCGGGTGTGCCTGGAATGAGAGGTAAAGAGGCAAAGCATATTTATATACCATACATTAAAATGTTAAGGATATTAAAGTATTTCAGGTACAATGGTAGATGTTGTTTGCTCATTACTCTATCTATATTTGCATGTGTTGCATAAACCCTTGTTCATCACCAGAGAGCCAATTTGCTTGATGGGTGCTGGAATAAATTATATGACTTTTTATTCAGCTATTAGATGCTATGATTGTACAGTCTACAAGAATATCTAAAGACTACTAAACGTTGTCTATATAATATATTTATATAAAAATTAGTCAGTACATGATAATGTTATATGAAACAGCCTTCTACTGTCTCTGTTTACAGGAGAACCTGGACCAAAGGGAGAGAGGGGTGTCAATGGTATTGGAATGATGGGTGATGTTGGTCCACCCGGGCCACCAGGTAAGATTTAATTTTAACATCATGAATCCTTCTGTTTAGGGAATATTGAGATGGGAAGCAGTTGCAAACCTTTCACTGAACTTAACAAAATCTTCTCCTCTGGCATTATTCTTGCAGGAGCGCAAGGTCCTCCTGGATATGGTAAAATGGGCTTACCTGGGCCAATGGGTCAACAAGGAATACCAGGTATCCCAGGACCACCTGGAACAAGTGGTAATCCAGGAAAAGAGGGAAGATGTAACCCAGCAGACTGTTACAGTATGATGTCAGTGCAAGATTATCAACCCAAGAGTATGAAGGGGCCAGGTCGATAAGGTGCAACAAAATCCCATGTCTTTTCTAATGGACCATCTCCCAATAGCTCTGAACTTCTTCCATGCCAGAATGAACAGCAGCTCATTGTTCCATATACTGATTTATATATATTGCTCCGTATCGTGATGCAGGATTTTCTGACACAGAAGGGGGTACAATTAAATTAATCCCACATTGTATTTGCACCCAAGTCCTGTTTTAGTCAACATTCTGCTTCCCTTCTTATATGTTTTCATGTCTTCTTTCTAAACATATATTACTTTTTTTTTGGACATCTTCCTCTATCTGGGCATCGTATTCCCTCGTTCAAAGGGTTTCATCTGTTGAAGGTGAAGAATCCAAAAATAGATTAACACTACATTGAGATGAGCCTCTTGACTGTAACAAATGTACAAATTTCTGGTGCAGTATGTAATATCAGCAATGTAAAATATTATGGTAACAAATATTCTTGCACCAGAGATGCAATAACACAACATCCTATCTCTCCAACCTTATGGTTTACTCTCAGTCATCTCAGTTATTTCTGTCCACTGGATGACAAATCAATCTGTTAATCTGACATGGTTATCTCTTCCAAGATTTAATTGAGACCTGGTGACCCTTTGTTTACAACATCAGTTCTCATGTCAGTGCTTATCAGATATTCACTTTGTATAGTGTTATTGAATTATCTCTAAACTCACATATGTTTAAATGTGGTTATAATAGAACTAAAACTATATTTGAATGTATGCAAAATTAGTAATAAAACAATTACAAAAGAACAAAGAGGTCCATCAACAGGTAAAAGTGTAAAAATGATGGACTTAAATACAAAACACACAGGATGAGGTGAAGGTGCATTTGCATTTTTCAGACACCTTGGGGATTATGAATATATTGAGTAATTCAGGGGAAAAGTAGAGCAAGCGGTATAAAGATTGCAATGATTTCCATGGTGATTTGGGAATTTTACCCCAGAATTACGCTTTTCATTACTTATGGTCAGTAAGGACCTATCATTTGATATAGAGGATCTTAATTTTACACTTTATTCACTTTAATTACACTTATGGGCTGACTGAGGTGACTAAGTGATTTGTTTAGCTTTTATACAATTTCACCCTTTCCCCTTAAAGAAGAGAAGTATGAACCACAACACCTTTTACTATAACAGTTACTATTCAAGAGGAAACCTAGACCAAAGTGCTAAATTATTCATTTAATTTATTAGCCTCTGTCCAGACGGTGTAAATGTTTTGTCCATACTGTTGTGCATGAATTGTATAGGTTGGTGAAATTATCCTTATCCTGTTAATCCAAGACAAATTCTTCTAGATTGTAAAATGGTGTCATAGATAGAGGGCAATCTCTGATTTACACAGTTAACTACATGTAAAAATGTGAAAAGCCAAAAACAATGCCTTGATCAATGACCACTATCCAACTGAAACACGTTACATATGAGATATTTCAATGCACCTATTGAGAACCTCATATCTAAAACATACATAAAGATAGACAACGTGAATACAGTTTCACTTACATTTAGTACTCTGTTCAGAATATCTGTATTTTTTTTTCCTTCAACCACACATCTACTTCTAGATTCTTTAGTGTCTTGTTTCCTTTGTTTCTTGCTGCGCTAAGAAATTTAAATTTAGTTTTCATTTCTATGGTCTTAACAATTTCATGAAATTACATTAATAGGTGCTGTCTTGCTGGAGATTGATAATATGAATGGCACACATTGACTTTTTATCTCCCCCCTTCAAATTTTTTCAGTTACACTTAAAGTTCAAATTGTAAAGGTATCTCTTGAAAATGAATGTCATTAGTCATTAAATGTTTTCTGTTTACATTTGTATGTCCAGTCAACATCCTTTTAAATGAAAATGAGGATTCTCCACAAACATAGACTAATTCAATCCATTTATGCTGACTTCATGTACTTTTCTGTGTAAGGTATTGTGCCATAAAGGATATGACTGTGTCTGCCTCTGTTGTTGTAGATTTCTCTTCCTTATATTGCTAAATAAACAGATATTCTTTTATTAGAAAAGATTTATTGGGATGGTAGGGATGCCCATAACATATCTATTTTATGAATTAATTAGTTGGGAGGTATGAAACTGGAAAGGAGGAGGGCACTAAGGGGAAATGTCAGCGATGTGGCTTGCATCAACCCAAAGACCCAAAAGAGGATCCAAAGAGGTGGGCCTTCCCAAAAGAAGCCAGGACCAGAAAAAAGATGCATTCAAGGCTGACCGTATCATGCTAGCCTGCCACACTCATGGTTACACACACACAGAGCACTTCTGAGGTGCTCTGCCCTGAGTTGAATTTAGAGGTGCTCTGCCCTGAGTTAAAATCGGACTGTCCTGCCAAACTAGGGCTTTTAGGAGGTATGGAGTATTTTCCAGGTTTTCTTATATGGGATGTCTGACTATGCGATATATTAGGTTGTATATAATTAAAGCACCAGAGTGATGACCACCACCACATAATGGTGACAATACTTAACAAGACTATGCAATATGTTGAATACTAGCAATGCCTTCCATGGAGTTTGTGCATTATTTAATACAAATATATAAATAAAAACATGTACTGTATCAAGCTATTGCTTAAATTCACCAAACGCCTCTGCTCTAGACAAACAACAAATGTAGCCTCATTAGAAAGAGTCATTGTACAGACAGGCACCCACTGAAAATGGCCCAAACACCATGCTGTGTGCGTCATTGGAGGTTGGTGGATGCATGTGTAGCCACTCCAGTCTGTTGGAGTAGAAGTCTTGGAGTAGGCATTTATGATCTTCAGGTATGTATAACTGTTAATCTATATCTTATAGATTATATATCTACCGGCCTGAATCTGACTCTGTCATCCACATATTTTGTAAGTAACAAAGCCCTTTCATTGATGAGGTGCGATATCTGAAACATATGTAAATAGAAAATGTCTTGTAACAGTAGTTTCAACAAATATCAAACACATATATCCTATATAGAGAACTTGGTCACCACCTAGCTATTTACCTCGCTTTTAGCCTCTTTCAATGGTTTTTTTTTTTTTATGATACCTCAGCTTTCCATTCAGATTTGTCTACATTTCTCATAAAGAGGTTTGACGCTGAACACCAAATAAACTACAGGTGCTAAAGTTGAAATACCGCAATAAGTTACTTTCTCTGTGTGTCCTTCATGAGATATTTGTGTATTAGTCATATTCAGAACATGTAGGTCTCTGTTGTCACAAGAAGCTGCATTATGTCATTGTTTTGCTAGCAATCCAAGTACATATTCTCAAATATAATTTATATGCTCAAAATTGTCTACAGTGTCTTCCTTTATTAGTGTGCAGCTTATTGTTTATGCCTGTTTAGGATTTTATGATAGACTTGCATTGTAATTAAACCAGACATTATTACTTAAAGGGAATCTATAGTGCCTAAAATAACAATAGTTTTTGGGACTGTAGGAGCCCTTCTATCATTGAAACCACAGCCCTGCCTCTTTGCTGAAAAAAAGTTAAGTTAAACTTTTCCAGCGACTAGACTGTACTGGTGCAGATGCCCACTCTGCCTCTAATGACGTCGGCATGCTTACAGAATTTCAACCAATCCAATATTTTCATAGATTAGCAATATTTTGCTGTACATATACATGCTGTATTCCTCCAATGAACTGCTATTATGAGCAACATTTGATTGCAAAACAGAGTTGTGTTCGGTTCTGGAGGAAGAAGCGCCTCTAGTGGCTGTCAGGAAGACATATTTAACCCTGAAATGTAAACATTGCCCTTTCTACAAAACGGCAATATTTTACATTGCAGGTTAACACTACAGACCTAATTAAAAAAAAAAAACATTATCCAGAATGTAACGTACCTTAGAAAAACTGATATACCAATTTATACTTGTATTTTTGGGCTATATTTAATTCTTTCAGCTTGCTAATCACACAGTCAATGAAGTTGTGAAGTTAAAAAGTGTCACCATGGCACATTTGCAAATCAGACCATACATATTTTACCAGCACGGTATTATTGATATAGTCAGAAACCATGGAGAAAGTAACAAGCATGTTCAAAAGGTTTTATTTTCTCATTTTGGAATAAGGGCAGAACAACTTTTAAAAAAGTTGTATAAATTTGTCACAAAAGGAGATCATTTAAAAATGATGCTTATATTTTTATGGGAGGACAGAAATGCCAATCTGACAGGGGCCTGATTGGGCCACTTTCTAATTGGCAGTGCAGGGAAGAAGTAAGGTCAGTTCACTTCCTCTCAGCTAATAGAGAACAGCGAGTAGAGGGAAGCCAACTCCCTGCACTCAAAAGGCATTAAAACTTGGGGTGGATAAAATATGTAAATTATGATGTGTGTTTAGGTAAGTGAATATCTGAGTGTGTGTCAGTGTGTATGTTTATCTGTGTCGGTATGGGTGTGTGAGTTTATATATACAGTGCCTTGCAAAAGTATTCACCCCCCTTGACTTTTTACCTATTTTGTTACATTACAGCCTTAAGTTCAATGTTTTATTAATCTGAATTTTATGTGATGGATCAGAACACAATAGTCTAAGTTGGTGAAGTGAAATGAGAAATATAAACATAAAACTATTTTTTAGAAATAGAAAACAGAAAAATGGCATGTGCGTATGTATTCACCCCCTTTGTTATGAAGCCCATAAAAAGCTCTGGTGCAACCAATTACCTTCAGAAGTCACATAATTAGTGAAATGATGTCCACCTGTGTGCAATCTACGTGTCATATGACCTGTCATTACATATACACACCTTTTTTGAAAGGCCCCAGAGTCTGCAACACCTAAGCAAGAGGCACCACTAACCAAACACTGCCATGAAGACCAAGGAACTCTCCAAACAAGTAAGGGATAATGTTGTTGAGAATTACAAGTCAGGGTTAGGTTATAAAAAAATATCCAAATCTTGAGGATCCCCAGGAGTACCATCAAATCTATCATAAACAAATGGAAAGAACATGGCACAA